CTGAACGTCTTCAGGAGACACTCTGCCTTAAAATTGTGCTATTTGCCAGGGTGAAATGTGCAATGTACACAAATAGGTTGTAGGGAAGCACACATCTAGGCTCTCTAGGGGACTTACTGTCTTGCTTTGTTTTAGTCAAGTTATATATGAAATAGTTCCTTTCTTCATTGAATAAGCCATCCACAGCGGAAATTGCTTCTTTGCCTTTTAACCCTTATCTGCTGACTTTATTTTTACTCTTTAAAGACCTTTCTTTCTTTTCTTCCTTTCTTCCTGCTAATAAATTATCTTGTCCCTTGGCTGCAACTTTTGCTTTGTTTTGGCCCAGAAAAAATTGTTTCCAGGGATCCTTATGCCCCAACAGATAAAGAGAGCCTTCTGCATAGGATTACAGGGTTAGGAGTGACTGTAGTTAAAATTATAGAACAAAACAGAACCCCAGCGAAGTAATACAGATCTGAGCTCCGTGTATCTTGTGATGGGTCTTAACTCTAGAATAGTAAGTAACACTCTGAACTCTCATTACTAGCTTATTCTCTCTGATGCACCCTTCTCCATGTGTTGGTAGGTTCTTGCAGTCCAGGCATCATCTACACAGAAGACAGCCTTCAGCAGAAGAAAACCATTTCTCTAGTGGCTTTTTTTTTTTTTTAATACAATGGTCTTTCTTTAAAGCCACCCACCCAGCAAAGTCCTCTCATGTCTAGCTGGTAACAGTTGAGTCACTTGTCCCTTCCCAACCCAATCACAAAAGAAAACAGGATTACCACGATTGGTCTAGCTTACTAGGATCCACCGCACAGGACTCAGGGATAGGCTCGCCTTCGCTGATCATGTCCTCAGAGGAAGGCAAACACCAAGATGAAAGCTGGGCCAGAGGCGTGTGGGAGAAAGAGACTGGGCAGGCAGCCAGCGTGAGGCCCGCTGTGCCTTCTCCTCTGGTGCCTCCTCTTTCCTTGGAGTGGTGATCAGTCTGTTTCACACAGGCCTTCGAGAGGCCAGTAGTCTCAGTGGAGATGACTGTCATAATTCTTAAAAGTGGGTGCATTCATCACTGTCTGTTTTATGGATGTCTTGATCTAGAGTTCAAGTTTTCCTGTTTCCCAGTGAGTGAAGGAAACCATGTGACACCCTACAACTTACGTTGGAATGTGTGACCATCTTCCACAGATGGCTGTTATGAAAGAATGTTTTTTGGTTTTAGTTGAATTTTTTCATTAGTGCTTTCACTGAATAACAGTGCTTGGACACCATGAAGTTATTAGTCCAGGTGTCCAGACAGTTGAGCCTTTTCTGTCTTAGATGTAAAGAGGAGCTACAAAGTTATTATTCTGATTTGACAGTATACCTGTTTGGTAATTGAAGCCCATCCTGGAAAAAGAAACAACTGCTACTTTACATTTTTCCATACCACTTTCTACCATTTTTTCAGTTTTATTGAGATTTAATTGATAGGTAGTTCTGTATAATTTTAAAGTGTACTGCTTAATAATTTCACATACATATACTATGAAATGATTAGCACAATAAGTTTAGTTAACATCCATGTCCTCATAGATGGTTTCTTTCTAGGTTGATGAAAATGTTTTGTAACTAGACAGAGGTGATGGTTCCACAACATTGTGAATATACTAAATCCACTGAATTCACTTCAAAGTGCTTAATTTATGTTGAGTGAATTTTTAAAATTCAATTAAACACAATTCCAGGCCAAAAAAATTTTTTTCTTTTGACGGTAACTTTTAAGAGCTACTCGTTTAGCAGCTTTCAAAATATACCATACAGTTAACTATCGTCATCTCTATAGTCATCTTAAGTACATCTTATAGTCATCATAAGTACATCTCCAGTACTTAATGTATTTTTAAACTAGAAGTGTGTACCTTTTGACCACCTTCATCCAGTTTTCCCCACTCCCCACCTCTAACCTTTTCTTTCTGACAGAGTAATCTGTTTAAGGTTATTTAAGCCTGAAAAAGAAAAATATTAAAGATCTATCATGTGGTAAAAGTAGTAAACTTAATTTTGTTTGACTCTTAAGGCACGTTTAGGGTCAGGATTGAAACTGTTTATAGCTTTCTATAGGGAGAAACTATACAACAGTAAAAGTAGAAAGTGAAAATCGCTCAGTTGTGTCCAACTCTTTGTGACCCCATGGACTATACAGTCCATGGAATTCTCAAGGCCAGAATACTGGAGTGGATACCCTTTCCCTTCTCCAAGGGGTCTTCCCAACCCATGGGTGGAACCCAGGTCTCCCACATTGTAGGCGGATTCTTTACCAGCTGAGTCACAAGTTAAGACTATAAAATGGTGAGTTGATGCTGTTCTGGGTGTTTTCTAGAAGAAAGAAAGTTCCTCTCAGGAACTCACACAAAGGGACTCTTCTTTGGGGAGGATGGCATGAGGTTGTATCTAAGAACTCTTCAAATTCGCATCTTTACTGATGTTTCCTAGCTAAGAGGTACAGAGAAGGGATGTACTAAGTTTTACTATCCTTCAGACTGAAGAGAATTGAAGCTTGATTTATCCATGGAGAGGAAAGACAAGTATATGTGTGTATGCAGTTCCCATGGGCAGCCAATGACCATAAGCTCTGTAGGTTGTAACTTTTAAAAAAATTATGTGGCTGCATTAGGTCTTCGTTGTGGCACGCGGCAGCTTATGTTGCAGTGCTCTGGCTTCTCTGGAGTTGTGGCGCGTGGGCTTCAGAGTACGTGGGCTTCAGAGTGCGTGGGCTTCAGAATACATGGCTTCAGGGTACATGGCTTCAGGGTACATGGCTTCAGGGTACATGGCTTCAGGGTGCGTGGGCTTCAGGGTACATGGGCTTCAGAGTGCGTGGGCTTCAGAGTACGTGGGCTTCAGAATACATGGCTTCAGAGTACATGGCTTCAGGGTACATGGCTTCAGGGTGCGTGGGCTTCAGGGTACATGGGCTCAGTTGCCCCATGGCATGTGGGATTTTCGCTCTCTGACCAGGGATCAAACTCACATCCCCAACATTGGAAGGTGGATTCTTAACCACTGCACCACCAGGGAAGTCGTTTTATAGAAATCTCCAGACACTGAATCAATTAAAAAATAAAATGTCAGCCATTTCCCTTGTGTAGTCAGTATCTTCCAGTGTTTCTCATCTTTAAATTCAGCTGTATGACTGATGGTATGAGTGACTCTGGCCTTTTAAACTAAGTCTCCAGGCAGCTGCTCAAGAGCTACCAAAAGGTGAACAAAGCAATAATCTTGCAGACTAATTTATGCCAGGTTGAGGTTACACATGCTTCTTAAGAGCCTTCTGGGTCTTATCCTTGAAACTGATTTGGAGGAGGAAAAAATGTCTGGCATGGCAATTTTCTTGAAGCACTTCTGTTTGTTTAGCTTAGTTTCTAGGGTCACATGCCAAGAGATATGACATCTGAGAGGGTTTCCAGCCTTATCTTTTTAAAGAGGGGAAAGAATTATTTAGGATTCAAGTACAGTCAGTAGTCCACGTAAGGAGCAGCCTCTATTATAAACCATTGTTGGAGCTAAGCATGTTTGACTTCAACAGTTGTTGAGAACATGAATCTCTGTATAGAGCATCAGCTTCTGTTTCTGAATATGTGCTGAGATTACTATGTTGACCTTATTACAGGATTTCCCAGGTAGCTATAGCAAGTGACAAGAGCTAGCAACCCCTGCAATATAAATCTCTGTGTCTTTGGGACACAGTAAAGTGACTGAACTCAAATAGTGAATAGCAAAGCAAAGATTCTCCCTTCCTCCAGGGAGAGACCCAGTCTTTCTGAAGAGCAGATGACTACAAACTCTTCTTACCTTTTCAGTTTGCTTAAGATAAAAGAAGGAATTTAAGATTCTGTGAACATCGTCTGATTTTGCTGCTCTTTGATGGAGGAGACACTTGAAGTTGTTAGCAGTGTTGTGGTTTGTGGTAACTGTAGGGGCTCTCCCTTGGGGAAGAATAGTGATCTTCTCCGGCACTGAATAGAGCTTTATATTTTCCTCCTTTCCGAAGAGTCTGTTGAGTTAACCCTGTGAAGTGCTCAAGCTGAAAATGTGAGCAAATTTCTGGAGGGAATAAGGGAGGGCAAATAAAATGCCAGGGGGACTTTATACTGCATTGCTCTAGAACTGAATCCCGGGGACTCTCACAGTAATTATGCTGAGTAAAAGAATCCATATAATGTATGATGTAAAATTCTAGAAAATGGAGACAGACCTGTAGTGACAGTGGTTGGCTGGGAATATGGAGAGGGGAGGGCAGGCTTATAAAGGAGCAGGAGGAAGCTTTTATAATATGCCCACTATTTTGATTGTGATGATGTTTCACAAATGTATGCATGTTTCATAATTCGTCAAAGTTTACATTTTTTTGGCTGCACCACATGGCTTGCAGGATCTTAATTCCCCCCCAGGGAGGGAACCTGGGCCCTCAGCAGTGAAACTGTGGAGTCCCAATCATCGGGCTGCAGAGAATCCCTGCGGTGATGGTTTGGTCGCTCAGCTGTGTCTGGCTCTCACGGCCCCGTGGGCTATAGCCCGCCAGGCTGCTCTGTCCGTGGGATTCTCCAGGCAAGAATGCTGGAGTGGGTTGCCATTTCCTTCTCCTAGTACATTTTAAATGTATGAAATTTATGTCAGTTTTACCTTAGGAGACCTGCATTTGATCACTGGGTCTGGAAGGTCCCCTGGAGAAGGGAATGGCTACCCACTCCTTTATTCCTGCCTGAAGAATCCCATGGACAGAGGAGCCTGGCAGGTGCTATAGTCAGTCCATGCGGTCGCAAAAGAGTTGGACACGACTGAGCTACTAACACACCACACCCCTAAGTTTACAAAAAAAAAAGAAATGAAATTAGATAATCTAGGGGAGCATTTGTCAAAGAACCCACACTGGGTTATAGGAAGGCTGTTGTAGGCTTCTGTGTGCAGTGCTAATCTTTTAAGTGTAGTAAGTACAGATGCACAACTCTTGTTTAATGCATTTCATGTTTTTTTAGGAGTCCATAGAGGCTACTGTATTCTATTGAGGAAGATGTCTAACAGCAACACTACTCAAGAGACCCTGGAAATAATGAAAGAATCGGAAAAAAAGCTGGTGGAAGAATCTGTAAACAAAAACAAGTTTATATCTAAGACTCCAAGCAAGGAAGAAATTGAGAAAGAGAGTGAAGATACCAGTTTGCGTCAGGAGACACAGGTAAGGATTAGAAGTGCATCCTATGTGCATTCTTTTCAGCAAAACAGAAATGTCCTTATGGGTGGTATTGGGAATCTATAGGAAGCCAGTCACTTATGCAGACATTTGAATCTCCCTAAAAGCCGAACTTCAGCTCTGAAGAAATATCTCTTCCACTTTTTGTCATAGAGTCCACAATGAAGTCCAAAGAAAACAGAATGAAATTCCTAATCTGTTAGGACCTGAGTAACACTGGTTCTTGCTACATTTTGATATTTTTTAATGATCAAAAAATAAACTATATAGTGATATTTGATGTCATAAAATGGTTTATAATAAAATTTTTGAAATGAGAACTGCCTGGCTTTATACAGTGTTAAATTTGTATTCTGGTTCTGTTAAAGCAGTCAGTATTTTCTGGATCAGAAATAGTCTCTGAACTTGCCGCTTGGTAAGCGTGCGTGAGAAGAATTTTATTCTTTGATTGCCGTGTTGTTTTCCGTCCAAACTCGCCCCGCAGTGCAGACACGATGGCAGGAGATGCCGGCTGAGCTGCTCCCAGGGCTCCTTTCTGGTACCCCGCCGGCCGGGACTCTGAGCCTTCTCCAGCTTCCTGCTCCAGTTCTTCCTCGTGGTTACAACTAGTTTCCTCTGTTACCCAAGCCGAAATGGCATGAATCCTTTCCTTCTTGCCCAGGGGTGAGACTGGTCTTTATTATATGCCTAGGAGGTAGACTGTTAACTGTAGTTAGTTAGTTTAAACAACAGTAGCAATAACATTTTGAGGGTCTGGAAACTTGAAGCGTAATTTTTCTTGACAACCAGTTCACCTAGGCCTTGTCTTTAAGATTAAGACAGCAACAACACGAAGAGATAAATTACATTAAAATCAGACAACTCTCTGAAATATTTTGTTCTCTAGATGCTGCCTGCCCTTTCTACTGTTCTTCCTCTTACAGTTCGCCAGATCTCTGTCATGGCTGCTTTTCTTTCCATTATCTTTTGCATGTGAGTTGTCATTCCCCACCCATCCTTCCAGAATTTGTGGAGACAGTCTGCCACTGTTGCAGCTCTACTTTTAGTTTCCACTGATACCAGTAATGAATTTTAAATCCTCAGGACAGATAAGTGTTGAATATTTAATTATGTGCTGTCATGTTACATGGACGATAATAATTAAGTGAACTTTTGGGTCCAAGTTACTGTGTTCTCAGGAGACTATTTTAAGTGGTGTTCTGAACTCCTGTTTTGTGTTCTTCTTGAAGATAGGCAGAAAAGAAAGGATGACTAGGTTTTATATGCCTTATGGATACTTACCTGGTTTAAGAATGTCTCCACCTGTATGTCCGTCCGGATAGGTTGTATGGGAGGCTGGGAAGGGAACCTGCCTGCCCTCAGACTCCTTTTGTGGCTGCTAGCACAAGTTCAGTTGCTGCTGCCATTTCCTGGAGCTCCTGCTCCTTCTGCAAAGGCTTCATTCTTGGCCACCCTTGGCCACCCTTCAGAGGCCTTCTCCCCTCCACCAGTGTTCCTCTTCAGTAACACTAAAAATTCTGCTCTTTCTCTTACCTTCCCCTCAAGTCTTAAGTCTCCCCAAGAATCTTAATGATGCTGAGAGTACTTATTATGAATTGGAGTTGGATAGTTCCAAATATTGTTCTGGAATATTATGAATTGGAGCTGGAAAGTTTGAGGAAAGGGTACTTTCATTACTTGTGCTGTATGAGACATATTCTTGGAATCAGCAATTAGAATTCAGAACATCTTTGGCAGGAAAACAGTGCTAGGTAAGACAGGTTCTGAAATTCAGTTTAGAATGGGCAAGCCCTGACGTAACAAATACTGAACTCTTAGGTGGGTCCTTTAAAGAACTGAGCTAGGCTTTCTGCCTTTATACTTGTAATGCCCTCTGACTCATCTCCCATACTGCTTTAGAAAAATGGCATGAAATAACGATCTGATTATGTTAATTCTCTTCAGACTTTCTGTGTCTCTTCATGCCCTAGGCTAAGTCCCAAATTTGTCAGCATGGCATATTGTGCCCTAGCCCTTTGCCTGCTATCCATCCACCTCGGCATTCTATGCTTCAGCCTAACGGATTCCCTGGTTCCTGTTATAAATTGAGCTGAAAAGTTTGGAGAAAGCATGCTTTTACACATGCTTTCTCTAACTAGAACGCCCTCCTGGTGTTCTTTCCCTGGCCTTTGCCGGGTCAGTTCAGTCTCATCATTGGATCTCTAAGGCCCAATGCGGTTCCTTGCAGGCACTCATTGTTTACGAACGTGTGAATTTGTGAATCCCTAAGTCTTGGATGCGTGCACCCCTGTAGCACTCCATAAGTGCCTCTGTAATGCACTTAATGTCCTGTATTGTAATTGTCCGTTTGTCTTGTCTTCTTCAGCAGAATTATGAGTTCCTTTTTGACAAGGTTTCCGTCTTTTATCTCTGTATCCTCCAGTAGGTAGCATGGTGTCTGATACATACTAGGCCTTGGTATGTGTTTGACTATTAAATGAAAATTATGCATTCTGAGAAATTGGCAGATCTATACATTTTTGTAGAGTTATAGATTGGTATTTATAAAGTTAGAGATACCAAGGGAACATTTCATGCAAAGATGGGCTCAATAAAGGATAGAAATGGTATGGACCTTACAGAAATAGAAGATCTTAAGAAGAGGTGGAAAAATACACAGAACTATACAAAAAAGATCTTCATGACCCAGATAACCACGATGGTGTGATCACTCACCTAGACCCAGACATCCTGGAATGTGAAGTCAAGTGGGCTTTAGAAAGCATCACTACAAACAAAGCTAGTGAAGGTGATGGAATTCCAGTTGAGCTATTTCAAATCCTAAAAGATGATGCTGTTAAAGTGCTGCACTCAGTATGCCAGCAAATCTGGAAAACTCAGCAGTGGCCACAGGACTGGAAAAGGTCAGTTTGCATTCCAGTCACAAAGAAGGTCAATGCCAAAGAATGCTCAAACTGCCGCACAATTGCACTCATCTCACATGCCAGCAAAGTAATGCTCAAAATTCTCCAAACCAGGCTTTAACAGTACGTGAACCATGAACTTCCAGGTGTTCAAGCTGGATTTAGAAAAGCCAGAGGAACCAGAGATCAAATTGCCAACATCCAATGGATCATCAAAAAAGCAAGAGAGTTCCAAAAAAAAATCTACTACTGCTTTACTAATTATACTAAAGCCTTTGACTGTGTGGATCACAATAAACTGGAAAATTCTTGAAGAGGTGGAAATACCAGACCACCTGACCTGCCTCCTGAGAAATCTGTATGCAGGTCAAGAAGCAACAGTTAGAACCAGAAATGGAACAACAGACTGGTTCCAAATAGGAAAAGGAGTATGTCAAGGCTGTATATTGTCACCCTGCTTATTTAACTTATATGCAGAGTATATCATGGGAAATGACAGGCTGGATGAAGCACAAGCTGGAATCAAGACTGCCAGGAGAAATATCAATAACCTCAGATATGCAGATGACACTACCTTTATGGCAGAAAGTGAAGAGGAACTAAAGAGACTCTTGATGAAGGTGAAAGAAGAGAGTGAAAAAGCTGGCTTAAAAATCAGCATTCAGAAAACTAAGATCATGGCATCTGGTCCCATCAATCCATGGCAAATAGATGGAGAAACAATGGAAACAGTGACAGACTTTATCCTATTGGGCTCCAAAATCACTGCAGATGGTGACTGCAGCCATGAAATTAAAAGACACTTGCTCCTTGGAAGAAAAGCTATGAACAACCTAGGCAGCATATTAAAAAGCAGAGACATTACTTTGTGAACAAAGGTCAGTCTAGTCAAAGCTATGGTTTTTCCAGTGGTCATATATGGATGTGAGAGTTGGACTATAAAGAAAGCTGAGCATTGAAGAATTGATGCATTTGAACTGTGGTGTTGGAGAAGACTCTTGAGAGTCCCTTGGACTGCAAGGAGATCAAACCAGTCAATCCTAAAGGAAATCAGTCCTGAATATTCATTGAAAGGACTGATACTGAAGCTGAAACTCCAATAATTTGGCCACCTGATGCAAAGAACTGACTCCTTTGAAAAGACCCTGATGCTGGGAAAGATTGAAGGCAGGAAGAGAAGGGGACAACAGAGGATGAGATGGTTGGACGGCATCACCATCGTGATGGACATGAGTTTGAGCAAGCTCCAGGAGTTGGTGATGGACAGGGAAGCCTGGCAGCTGCAGTCCATAGGGTCACAAAGAATTGGATACGACTGAGCGACTGAACTGACTGAAATTGGTATAACTTCTTTGAAGGGCAATTTAGCAATACTGGATAACATTTTTAAATGGACTGTACAGTATTTGTAGGTATACTCAATGATATAGTCACTGGAGCGTTGTTTATACTAACAAACATGAGAAACATCCTAAATGGTACAGTTTGTGTATGGCAACACAAAGGAATACCATGGAGCCGCTCAGGAAAGCAGCGTCTCTCTGTGGAGGTATATCCTTGAAGAAAGCTTAAAAGTGAGGTTTACGGCAGTGTGTGCACATGTACAATAAACTTATAGATACATAAAAGATCTCTGGAAAGATCACAAGAAATTCAGTACTAGTTGGTCCTGTAGGAGGGACCCAGGTCGCCAGGGACATGTGTAAAAGGAGATGCATTGTTCTGGTTTGTGCCTTGTGTATGTTCCTACTTATTTGAAAAAATAGTGACAAATGCTGCTTCATATCCCTGGACTATTCTCTTACTGTAACAGGTCTTGCCACTGACCAGATTTACTGTCATTTCTTACTCTTTCCATCCACCTTTCCAGTTCTCCATTTTGCATTGTAGCAGTGTTATTTGGTAACTAGTGAAGAGGGCAAAGCCAAGAGAAATCCTCACCTATCCAGAACCGTGCCGATACTCTGCCTCCATCTTGTTTCCCCTGCTCCACCCACCAGCCTCAGTTCTCTCCACACCCCAGTGACAGTTCCATTCCAAACATCTTAGAAGCCCTAAGCATCATGCATAATCCTACCCAACCTCTTCTCCAGAGTCCCCATTTTGACTTCTCAGCTATTCAGAAACCTCATAAATTAATTAGTCATTTTTCCGTTCATCCCACCTCAGGCCCTCATTCATCTTCCTCAGCTTCTATCCTGCTCCTTACTCACTCTCTTTACCTCCCATTGCTCTGGAGGTCTTGTCCACATCTTCCATGCTTCTTTTTTTTATCCTGCCCCATCTTATATCCCTGACCCAAACGGGCTGGAAGAGCCAGCCACCAGGAGCAAAGCGCAGGGAGAACTCTCAGATCCCAGGAGGCAGGCCGTTGCCGAGAGGAGCCTTCCTTCCGTTCCTGCAGCCGCCGGAACAGGTCTTTGGAGCATCTGAGGTTAGAGGTCTCAGTGACTGCTGCTCAGGGGCCATCGCTCGCTGTCATGGGCTACATAGGCTTCTGCGGGCAAAGTTTGGGGAGGAAACGCTCGTCATGCTCTGGCAGTGATATTTCAGGGGCCGTGCTCTTCAGCAGAGGATTCCCTGGTTTATTCAAGAGTACTTTTTATCAGTCTGTGACTAGGCCAGCCAGCCAGTCTTTCTGTTTCTGCCTTTGTGGTGAGTGATTTGTCTGTGGGGCCTGAGATCCCCTCCCCGTCACAGTCGCTAGAGGTGTGGCTTGGGGGACAACCACGGCAACAGGTCTCATCGTAGTTCGGCTGTTACAGTGGTTTTAAAGTTAGTGCTTTTTCTCTGTAAACTTGTATTGCTTTTAACTTAAGTGTTTATTTCCCCTACCTTTAATATTCTCTAATCCCCTTCTAGCAGAGGCGGACATCCAACCATGGTCATGCCAGGAAAAGAGCCAAGGTGAGAGCCCTTCCTCGGTAACTTGCAGTGTTACTAGTGGCGCATTGCGCAGGTGGACTCACCACGAGTGTCTACTTCATGTGGGTTCTATATATGTGAAGGGTTTTGCCTGTACTTTGTACCCTAATTGTGAGCATGCATACACACACACACATAATCACAAATATGCATTGCTCATATACATATATCCTGTTGGAATGTCTGGCTTTATTTTTCTCTGTTATCTTTAGTCTATTTCAGTTACCTGAAAGGATACCCAGCCAAAGTGTCCCACAAACAAAGCTTGAGCAGATTGATACTGGTTCTGTTGTAATGTCAGTTTCTCTGCTCATCTCTGGCTCTCTTATTTTGCCCCCAACAGTTTTGGGGATTTTTGCCATGAGAATTTTCTGTAAGATAAATCCTCCCTCATTAGTAAAATGGTTCAACATTTTTGGATGTTCTAAAAATAGAGGCTTTGTTCTGGTTTGATTTGGTTCACCTTTTAGGTTGGTTCAGGGAGGAGCATTTTGTTTTTAACCATTATATGATAAAATTAGCACATCATAGATTATTTTAAGCAGTGTTATCAGGGAGGACCATAGGTGTTAGTGTGTGCTAGCTTTTTAATTTTAATTAGGGAACAGTAAAATATTAAACTTGCCCTGCATTGGGAAGAATTGTCAGCAGAAGTAGTAATTAAGGGTGTCCACCCTTTTCCCCTAGAAAAATAATGGTGGAGTTTGGGACTCTCCCAGCCAGTATGTAGCTTGGGTTTGAAGAAGACTATGATGTGTGATAAATTGGTTCTGTGGACTGCCTTCCATGGCCTAATCTACAAGTAATGGACTTGACAGTAAAAAGGGTGTTCAAGATTTCCCTGGCTATCCAGTGGTTAATTCTCTGCACTTCCAGTGCAGGAGGTAAAGCTTCCATACCTGGTCAGGGAACTAGGATCCTGTATGCCGCATGGCACTCTTCATAAAGGGGGGAGAAAAAGCAAACCAGAGGGTGTTTTCTGCTATTTCACTTCCTCCGAACTTTTTGAAATAAGACAGAAAAGTTTAAAAAGTTACTATTGTTATTTTCTCCATTTTACAGAGGAGAAAACTTGGGTTTAATAGAGTTTGAGTGAGATTGACAAAGGACATTTATTAGTAAGTGGCAAAACTAGGCTTAAAGTCAGTTCTTCAGGATTGAAAATTCTTTTCGCTGTACTGTACAACCTGAAACACATATATTGTGATTTGTGCTTTTGTGTTTACTGTAAACTTTTATTTTATTATAAGAACTCTCAATAAATGTTTATAGGTAGATTTTTAATGAGTCACTATAATTTTTGACTTTGGAGATCCCTGAAGGAGCAGTGATTTATAGAGTGAATTTCACATCTTTTGGGGATTCTCCAGGTAGCATAAATAAACCAAGTAGATTAGTTCTTTATTACACTGAACCCCAAGTATTAGAAAGTTTTCTTTCTCTTTACTTTTTTCTTAGACACTTTTCCCCATTACATTGCCACCTCAGGTTTAGAGTCATTTAGCATTTGTTGTCTACTGTATGCTAAACACTATTTATGGTACATATGTTTACACATTTTATATAATTCTCACAAGAATTTAGGCATTTCTATCCCCTTTTCATTGTGAGAAAAAAACAGAGGATCCAGAGAGGTCAGGTAGTTTGCTGAGGGCCACATATCTCATCGTTTGAACCAGAAGTTGAAGCTGGGACTCCTGGCTCTTAAATCTAGTCTTCCTCCTAAGCTTTGCTGCTGTGCATTCCCAGCTAATGTCCAAGTCTAATATTGGAGCACTGCGCTAGAGAGAGGGGAGCTGAGCAAGGTGGCTTGCCTGTCATCTAGCCACAAGTAGTTGTTTTGTTGTTATATATCTACTGCTGTAAGCAAGAGAATTATCTTTCAAGTGGATCAGGAATGGATGAGAAGGACCTGTTTGAAGAAGGAAAAAAAAAACCCTCTTTCATGGAAGCAGCAACTAAGAGAACCAAAGAGGATGCCCTTTATTCAGCGGAAAGAATTCCAAATGTTCCCCAAGGGGATGTGTGTGTGTGTGGTGTGTGTGTGTGTGTGGTGTGTGTGTGTATATATATATATTTTTTTTTTTCAGTCTAATTCCAAGCTGAAATTGGTGCGCAGCCTTGCAGTGTGTGAGGAGTCCTCCGCTCCATTCGCTGACGGGCCGCTGGAAACCCAGGTGGGTCCTTTACAGGAGGAAGTGTCGCTTTTGAGTTTGGCGGTTGTTTGCTGAACAGTGGTGTCACAGCCATGGCATCAACATTAGGCTTGGAAATTGGGGTAGAAGAAGCTTCAAAACAAGTTATTGCAGTTAAGTGGCATGAGTGAGAGCATGAAGTGTAGGTCTTCACACCCGGACCACCCAGGATGATGCCGGCAAGGAGATTCCAGGCCTAGATCATGTTTTCCCAACCACACCTTTCCCTCTGGTGGTTAGAACCATTTCCATTCTAATTCTTATGCCATAAACAGCCAGCAGAACTTGAGCTCTCCAAAGAGTAGGCTGTGATTATTGGCAGAACGGACTTGGCCTCTACCTTACTGGTAGAACAAAAGCTAAAACAATTTAATTAAAATATTCTTGTTTGTAATACAATGCTGTCACCCTAAGATTTGCTTTCTTTTAGATTTTAAAGGAGCTACAGGAGAGTTAATTGTTTTCCCTTTTGATTATATTTCTCTTTCCCCTTGTCCAAGGATATAATTCAATTGCACATCAGCTGCCCCTCTGACAAGGAGGAAGAAAAGTCTACAAAGGATGTCTCTGAAAAGGAAGACAAGGACAAAAACAAAGAAAAGGTCCCAAGGAGGATGCTATCTAGAGGTGAAGACTTTCCCCCTTTCTCATCTGTCCTAGGGCCTGGCTCTGCAGTGCCCTTTCCTCCCATCTCCCCACTGGCCTTATTGGCCCAGCAGTGTACAGTGTCCTGCTGACTTCATCATTGTTTGGGGAGGTGCCTAAGTAGGTTACTTTCTTTGCTGCTTTATCCAGCTCTGCCTTAAGGGCTGACAGAGAGCTACTCTGTTAACATTGGGCTACCGACAGTGGGAGGACATTGTAGTCAATTCTGATTTTATTCTTGCTTTTGGAATAAATAGTGATGGATTATCACTGGTAGCAGATTCAATACCATTTATAGTTTGGTTTGGAGATGCTCAGAGTGATTTTTTTAATAATGAAACTTGCATGTAATTATTAAGCTCTCTTTGGTTTTAAATTCTTGGGCTGGTAGCAAGAAGACATGGCCCATAGAAATGGAGGGAATTCCCTGGCAGTCCAGCCATTAAGGCTCAACTCTTTCACTGCCGTGGGCCCAGATTTGATCCCTGTTCAAGGAACTAAGATCCCGCAAGCCATGTGGTGTAGCCAAAAACAAATTTTTTTAACGATAATTAAGAGGGAAAAGGCAATCGTAGTATTAAAATTTTATAAGCAATTATAAACATATAAATAATCACCATTTGAATATATTTGCTGAGGTTCTAGAAAATTCAGCCCTGTCTGACCTTACCTAGAATTTATTTTCTTTAACTAGAATAAAGCCTTTGTTTTGGTTTGGCCATTTGGTAAATACTGATGGCAAGGTGTAATATGAATATGTATGAAGGTGTAATATGAATATGTAATATGAATATAACACTGTGACCCAGATTCCACCTTCTGTCATTATCGCGGGAAATTTTGAGAGGCTGGTAATTCAAGGTTACTCTCATTTTAAGCTAAAACTCCTGAAGTTTGATTCTACTTTTCCTCTATGTCTCCTGATCAGATTGTAGGCTTCTGCTTGGGGTTAAATATCATACAAAGCAGCTTCATTTATTTCAAATTTATTTCATTGTGGTGTTCTAGACTCCAGCCAAGAATATACGGACTCCACTGGAATAGACCTACATGAATTTCTTGTAAATACACTGAAAAAGAACCCAAGGTAATAACATGATTTGATGGAAGGGGGAAAGGGGCTGGGATCAGCATAATACCCAAGAAGCCAAGTAGCTCCTCAGAATTTTTCTATTATTAGAGTCTGGGATGCCCATTTCCCCTACACCCCCCACCACCATTTCTCTCCAAAGAAGTTTTATATTCTGTGGAGGGATTCAGAATACCCTTATATTGAGATTTCTGCTTTCAGAAGAGTTGAGAAAAATTCTGTGGAAGAAGAATGCAGACAAAGAAATATAAAGGCTTAAGAATACAATTAAAAAGTACAGAGGAAAAAAGAATTGATTGTAACACAAAGCTAAATCATACTTGTTTAAAAATTCTATAAATAACCGGATGGAGTGTAGAATTACGATTAGTATAAGTATAAAATATGTGTTTGTATGACTATGACTGCCAACAGAATTAGGTTTCTGATAAAGGAAACAGAGGACATGATTAGGAGGTTTGATTTTTTTTTTTTTTTTTTTTTAAGTAACATAAGACAGGGTAGTGAGGTTGGCAGCCTGTGCATTTTTGATCCGCTCCTGGAGTTTGGGTTTGTCCCTCCCTAAGCATCTATAGTGAGCAGGTTGTGTTTTCAGTCCTGTTTCAACGTCTGTGGGAGGGCTGCCTTTTGTTTTGCTTTGTTTTAATCTTTTTTAAACAGGGACAGAATGATGCTGCTAAAATTAGAACAGGAGATTCTGGACTTTATTAATGACAACAAGTAAGTTACTTGAATGAAATACATCTTAGAGGTGGGAGGGGGTACTGGAAAGAAATTTAGGTAAAATTTAAGGATGTCCCTCTTTTATCATTCCCTTAAAGTCTGAATTTTGAAGTAATAACTCCCTAGGAACCAGGAGGAGTTGGGAAGAAGTAATCACAATGGATCAAAATGTAAATGTGTGGAAACTAAATCAAGTTTTTAAATTATCACTTAGACTTGAGTTGAAAAATATTTATATCTTTTCATCAGCTAGCCTTTGTCCCATATTTCACTCTTCTTAAGTTTCTCCCTTTTTTCTTTGTAGAATATCATCCAGATGGGTGAGACCTAGGGCTATTTGTCTAAGGAGCAGTCTTAATGAAGATAGTGGGTCAGAGGGATTTACACAATACTATAGATAAAGCTAAGAGAACTTGTTTGGTTACCACTGAGTAAATATCTATCTTCCTTATAATAATGTCTCCTAGGAATTTCTCCACTTTCAACACTTGTAAGAAAAATTACAGTTGGCTGTTATTTGTTCTTATTTCACTTTTCCCCCCTGGGTTTCCCTGCAGCAACCAGTTCAAGAAGTTCCCTCAGATGACCTCATATCACCGGATGCTATTACACCGGGTAGCTGCCTATTTTGGGATGGACCACAATGTAGATCAAACTGGAAAAGCTGTCATCATCAACAAAACCAGTAACACAAGAATGTAAGGGAGGAAACCACAGATTGGGAAAACTTTCCTAGGATAGCTCTGGGGTGGGAGAGGAAGATGCAGGATTTCTCTTTCTGGAGAGGGAACAGTGGAGGGAGTGGGCAGGTTATATTATCAATTTCTACTCTTTTTGAAGAGATAGATACTAGAGGCATTGGCATTTTGTGAAGACTGGCCCCTGGCTCTCTTCACCTTTAGTGATAGAATAGGAATAACTGTGGAAGAAGGTAAGTTGTGTAGATGTATAAAGAACAGTCCTTGAGGATTTCTTTAAAACTTTCACAGGATTTTTGGAATGCCTGACTTCAGAAATCTCCTGGGTGGGAGTTGTGGAATTTAAGAGAACTGTATAGGTCTGCTTCCTAACAGAAGAGTCTTTCTTCCCTTCCTTCCACATTTCTTTCCCAATCCTAGCCCTGAACAGAGATTCTCAGAACATATAAAGGATGAGAAGAATACAGAATTTCAACAGAGATTCATTCTTAAGAGAGATGATGCCAGTATGGACCGAGATGATAATCAGGTGAAGACTGGAAAGGGATGGGTCTATACAGAGAGATTGCAGTAAGAGAAACTGGGAAGGGAGAAGAGTTTTTGTGGGATGGAGAAAACTCAAAATACCTTAGTGTGGAGGGACTCTCGAGCTGCACTGAGTTGGCTTTAGCCTAACGTTGAGGATCAAGGACACTTGTTGGGCTAAACGCCACCCACGTAGCCCCAGAGTGACATGGTGCTGAGGTTTGCTGGGTTTTCTCATTTGGCCTGGAACTCCCTGGTTCTGCCACTGACTTCTAACTCCACTTCATTTTGGGACAAAGCAAGGTCCCTCCCTGCTTCAGCCTTGATTCAACTGATGGCTCCATTCTTTTTTTCTTTAATAGTTAGGAATTTCGTTGGGAACCACCTAAAGCTACTTTTCTCCCACTTGCACTCTTCCTGTCTCAGAGCTAGCCTTGAACTGGGAAAATTGTTATCTGATTTACCCACTTGTAAAGGTGTTTCTGATCCCTTTCTGCAAACCCTTTATTCTTTTCCCAACTCCTTCCAGCAAGGTGAGTGAGTCAGTTTGGCTTTTGATGCTTGAAATCTCAGGCAGTATCCCCATTTTGATCCACTCCTGTGGGAATGAGAAGTGAAAAGTCTGCCCCATCCCTTCATTTATGGGCCTGGCTTTTGCCCTGACTTCTAGCACATCCTTCAGATAGTGATTATTTGGAGTTAGCTTCCTAGCCTCATATGGGGTTAAGATCCAGCCTGCTTCTGCTTGGCCTCCAAGGGAGGTTAGGTAGAGAACCAGGATTACAGTTTAAATAATATGGTGGGGTAAAGCCAATAACTAGCCTTGCTAATTCATGATAACTCTAATAATATCACACCTCTAGAGTCAAAATTAGTTTCCTCTCAATATTGTCTGGTCCTGAGACCAGGACTTTTCCTGCTTGCTACTTGAGTATTTGAGGGAGTCCTTTTGAGAAAAGTGCCATTATCTATTGTGGACAAACATGCTGGGTCTGATTGAAAATAATGAAACATACAAAAGACAAAATTTAAAAACAAGGAAGAGCCTTTCCATCCTGATGCCCTTCTCTCCATTTTCCCAAAACCCCTCTTCTGTGGATCAGGAATTATTCAGGCCTAGAGGCACATTGGGGTGGGATGGAATCTCTCCCTACCGTGAACTTTTCATCTCTCGGCTTCAGGCTTGATCCATAATAGGGTAGGCTCTATGCACTTTCTGTCTGTGATATTAATAATAAACACAGTAATTTCTATTTCACTGAGTGTTTTCCCTCTGCTAGCCTCTGTTCTAAATACATTATATTCATTATCTCATTTAATCCTCTCCACAAACCCAGTCTAGATGGGGATTATTAGCCCCGTTTTAAACTGAGCTAGGAAATGTTAAGTTAGTTGCCAGTGACATTACTTGGAGGTAGCAGAGCTGAGATTCTGCGTGACCTCAAAGCCCATTATGCTCTATCTGTTCTGCCACTGGTTAACCAGTGCTAGGGGCTAAGGACAATATAGCGCTTAAAGTCCTATATCTTCTTGGCATGGGATTGGTAAAAAGGACATTTAGTAGAATTTAGGTTCTTTAGGCTAGTGAGAACTACATCTAGTCAAAAGTTGATACTCCTGAAATTATGCTTACTTCTGGCAATTGGTGAAGATCAGGAAGATCAGCCTAGACCAGTGGTCTCCTTGGTTGCTTCATCTGAAACTTTAAAAGCCTCTGGATTGAAGGTCAGAATCTTTTATAACCTGATGACGTGCATTTGATGACTTACCTCCCTCAGAACACTTTGCCTTCAAGAGCAGTATGGAAAAAAGACATTCTGTAACATCCTACCCAGGGCAGTGCTCCCAACTCCCAGGCTAAGAGGGGAAAGGATGGTGGTGGAGAGTGGGGTGGTAGGCTCACAGAGGTGGTGGTCTGCCAAGCCATCCCCTCTGGTCAGCTCACTACATTTTTCAGAGAATGTAAGGTTCTCTGTCCTCTCTTTCCTTCTTATCTTTCTATCACTGTGCTTCTCCCTTTTCTCTGCCTACCTCGTTTGTCTCTTCTTTCTCTGTCATCCTTCTTTCTGTTCTCCTTTTCTTTCTTTTTTCTCCTTTGTGTTACTGTGTTCTCTTTCTACTGTATATTTCTGTAAGCTTTCACTCTTTCCCTCCCTCCAGTAGCTGTAGTTAAGATGAGAAAAAATGCTTAAGCTCTGAGTTTAGCTTTGCCCTTGGGCTTTCACTTGCAAGGCCCTCTTTGCTGAGCTCTGTGTGACTTGGATCTACAGGCCATGGCATCAGTGACTAAAGAAGGAATAAGGTCAAGTGCTAGTTCTGTAAAAACTCTTCCAAATTTAGCTCTGGTAAATACCTGTCTCTTCTCCCTTTCTAGCTTCCTCCTACCCCTTGCTTTCCCTCCAAAGCAATGCCGTTTATCCCGTGGGCTGTTCTCGTCATCTTTACTGACTGGAGAGCACCCGACTACATAAGGAAGCAACCTAATCTTTATCCACAGTTAATGTTCTTGATACTCTGGTTGGGGGGCGGGGAGCTGGTGAGGCCCAACCATCCAGAAAACCTTCTCTCCCAAACTGCATGGTCAGATGTACCCAGTGAAACCTGTCCAACACTGGAATTTTATTTCTTTTTTTTTTCCATTTTTTTGATGGCAACTATAAACTCTCCCGGTTTCTCTTCCTTGCTGGTGTGCAGTGAGCTTGCAGTACGAGGAGAACTTAACTAGCTTAATTCTGCTCATCGATCTAGATCAGAGTTCCATTGCAGGATGGAAGGAGGAGCAAGTCAATAGAAGAGAGAGAGGAGGAATATCAAAGGGTCCGAGAGAGAATATTTGCCCGAGAGGTAAGTGTAGCTTCTGAGAGTCGTCAGCCCCTAGCTTTTAGCTCTTAATCTTTGGCACTGTGAATGGAATGAACCCTCCATAAATGTTTTGTTGTTTTTTTCTGATTTTGTTTTTAACCAACATCAGCCAGCCCCATATTTGATCTCTAAAATTAAATGTAGCTTATTAGGAAGCTGCAGATTTTTATTCATATTACTATTAATGCATATGGCCTATAAAGAGAACAAATGGAGTGGCTGAATTTGGTAGATTTGATTAGACTGAAAATAGAAATGGTTTTGGCAGGGATTACGGAAGGGCCCTGGATCTTGCCTGTCAAACCCTCCTCCCGCTTACCCTCTTTCACTTCCACTATCTATTTTAGGTGTCTTTGCTTCTAAGTGGAAGACTTAGTGTCCACACAGCCTGTATACATTCATCTTGTTTGTTCTGGCTCATTTTTAGGCAATGTTGGTGATTATCAGAGCACAGATATGGCATCCATTCTCTGAGCTCCACATTCCACACGCACAGAGGGTGCACTCACTATTCCGTACAGTCTTGACTGAGTAGAAAGTCTCTTTCTTCCTGTATTTCTTACCTTGTTTCTTAGAATAGGCCTGCTCCATGGACCAAAAGGCAACATGAGTTGTTATGGGCAACTTTATTCTTAAGAACTGTGGGCCGTATCAGATATACTTGGTATCCCTGTGTCTGGTGACCTTTGCCTGCCAGACTGAACAGACGTATAGGAGGAATTCAGGAAAGGCAAGAGAGAAATAAATCTCCAGAAAATATGCGATCCAGATAGCAGCACCATCTTATAGTCAAATTAGAAAACGAAGAAGAGCCAGCCTCCCTTTGTCATCAAAAGATGGCCAGTTCTAATCAATACTTAGATGCACACTGCTCCCCTCCCACTTCCTCACTCTCCCTCATCAAGACAAAAAAAAAAAAAAAAAAACAAACGTATCTTCTCATCATCACCTAGCTCAGAAAAACATTGTCTCTAACTTATAAAAAACTGAACTCCTCTGTGAACTTGTTCCATTGTCTTGGAAGACACAGTTGTTCCAAGGAGCCTCACTGTGGTCAGATACACAGCAAACCTTCTGGCCTACAGTCTGAGGAGAAGGACTCTTCTTATGTTATGTGGCCTTCCATTCTGAGTCAGTAAAAACCCATCCTCCCAATTATCCAACTGTGGCCCAGAGAGAGTTTTTCTAACTTTATCTGAAAATCAGTTGAGTGGAATGCTAGGAGAGTGGTCATTTGTACATGGCTGCAGCTGGTGATGACCCTGAGTTGTGGACAGGGCAGAATGGTGGAAGTTAATAGCAAACGTTCATATAGTGCTTATTATCTTTCAGAGCCTGTCCTTAACACTTTGCACACATAAATTTATTTAATCTTTACACTAGGCCTATGTGATAGGTTACATTATCTTCCTCATTTTAGAAACGAGGGACTGAGGCATGAAGAGGTTAAGTAACCTCTGATCACACCACTATTTAGTGAAAGAGCCGATATTTGAATTCAGGCAGTCCTTGGCTCCAGAGTCCACGCTCTTAGCCCCTTCAGTAAACCACCTCTCCATAGCTTGCTCTGCTCTGGGCTTTTTACATTAAGAAGTTCCCGTGACATCATAGCATAGCTCCCTGTGATGTACCCCTCTGCTTCACTGACACATGGAAAATGACTGTTCCGCCACGCCAACCGTTAGCAAAGCCATTCTGAAAGCACAGGTAACTTTTCATAAGCTGTTCGGTCTCATTATGCACAACGCTGGAATATGTCCATACTACCGTAACAGGGGAAGCTCTTCTCTCCTTTTTCTCTGATACCTAGTCTCTCCAGCCTCTACTGATATGTGTACTCTTTGTTAAATCCTTACGGATTTATCATTTTCTTTTTAACACATCCTAACTCTTGCTGTGGTAGAGGCATCAGGAATCTCGAAAGGTCTAGGCAGGGGGAAATGGCCAAAGCCTACTATATGCCAAAGATTCCCATGTGGAGAGGAAAGAACCTGGCCAATCAAAGGGAACTGATTAAGGGTGGAGTTGTGGGTTGCCGCAGAGGGGAGGAAGAGGCAGTCCAAAAAGAAAGGGAAGTGGCAAGAAGGGTGTTTGGATGGAAATGCTGCTGCTACAGCCTTCTATGGAGCTGGGCTGTGTTTGGGAAAGCTGCCTCGCTCAGGCTCTGCTCCGCACGAAGGTCCCTGTGCTCAGCAGCTGGACACTCTCCGTACGTTTTTCTAAGACTTGGGAGTCCACCGTAATGCTCACTTCACTCAGCTCAGTGGCTTTGTCAGGAAATGATCCCCGAAAGGAATGCTTCAGGCTTTTAATTTTCTCACTTTTTCTAGGCTCTGCTTCCCCAATCTCTCACTCTCCTTGGTGTCCGGTCAGAGCGTCTCTCATTTTGGCCACAGTGTAGAGGACAGGAATGGGATAGTCACTGAGGAGGGTTTCTAAAAAACTAGATTTTTTTCTCTTCTCTCCCTTTTCCCTTTCTTTGAATACTCTTTAGGACCAAGCACACCCGTTACTATGCTCAGCTTACCTATAGAGAGAATCAGTTGAGAACTAAACAGGAGCTAGTAGCTAGGTCAGTACTTCCCTCTTCCTGCTTTCCGCACTTCTGCCTTCATTGACCTCTCCTTCTAAACGCTCTGTGGGAAGGCTGAAAGCTCTGAATGCGCTTCCCCATTAAAGGTGAGAAGTCAGATGGGCTGTGTGGGTGTGGGTCATCCTGTCCCTGCTCCCGCTCTCCCTGCTGGGGGGTGAGCTCGGTTTGAGGACCTTGGGTATTCATAGCATCATGGACACCCTTTTTGGTTATGCCATGCTGTTTTCTTATAAGTTATTTTCCGTTTTCTCCCCTTCACCTAGACTGGCCAGAACGGATATCTAAATGACATCAGGTTAGTACCACTTAGCATGTTCCCTGCTTCTCATTGAGCTTTGTCAGTGAGGTTAATATAATCCTGTAATGATGCTTTTCTTTGATGTTAACCAACAGACTCTCCAAAGAAGCCTTTTCTTCTAGCTCTCACAAGAGAAGGCAGATTTTTAGGTACCTCTGTGTGGTCTCTCCCCTTGTTTTTGTTCGTTTGTTGTTTAATTCTGTTTTGCTGTATCTCTTCAGCAGAGCAAGTTTGCTCCATGCATGGCTGCTTGTGGAATAAGTCAGTTTGTGGTTTTTGCAACATTGGATATTTTCCCCATTTAAAAAAATGGCTAGTGCTCAATGACTTTACTTCTATTGTTGCTGATTTCTTTGTAAGTCATGGATAGGTGGTGAAGGGGACCAAATAAGTATGTTTAGGATAGGTACTGCTCTATTTCAGAAGTTTGCTGAGACTGAGCATTTTTGGAGGATTTCAACATATATTTGAAAGTGAAAGTCGCTTAGTCATGTCTGACTCTTTGCGACCCCATGGACTATACAGTCCATGGAATTCTCCATGCCAGAATACTGGAGTGGGTGGCCTTTCCCTTTTCTAGGGGATCTTCCCAACCCAGGGATCAAATCCAGGTCTCCTGCATTGCAGGTGAATTCTTTACCAGCTGAGCCACAAGGGAAGCATATGAAGGTAAAAGAACGGATGTCTTTTGGCTGCCTTTTCCAAATCTATGGGAAGATGTGAAGAACTTATCCCTCACCCAGCACAGGGGAATGTTTTGTATCCTTACGAAGGAATAGTACACACACATATTTAAAGAAAGCACAGGAACACCTCTGTCTGTGTGGTTTTCTCTTTAGGACAATGTGACGTGTAAGATGAGCTCAGAAATACCTCAGAATGGACTTAGGGCATGTCCATGACTTTTTCTTAATGTTGCTGAAAGCCACTGTACTAACTCCTCCTGTGCCTCATATTCTCCGTTTTCCACAAAGCAGCTGTGAGCGTCTCCCTTCATCTGTCTCTCAGGCCCATCCCAGACAATTACAGAGGCAGTGTGAGAGAAGCACCTTAGGACTGTATCCTGACACCGACTCATTTTAAGTGTATACTTTCCATTTTGCCAACAGAAAACTGTAGAGTACAGGAAACCTGACGAATTGATGCTAGGATTCAGGTCTCACCCTTTCCAAAGGGTTCTTCTCTTTCCTCAGTCCTGAGCTCGATGCTGCTTTTGCGTAGGCACTTCAGTCACGTCTAACTGTGTGTGACCCTGTGGACTGCAGACTGCCAGCCTCCTCTGTGCCTGGGATTCTGTAGGCAGGAGTACTGGAGTGGGCTGCCGTGGCCTCCTCCAGGGGGTCTTCCCAGCCCAGGGACTGAACCCAGGTCTGCTGCATTGCAGGCAGACCCTTTACCACTGAGCCACCAGGGAAGCCACCTGAGCTTGGTGTGTGCTCACTTGCACACGTCAGTACAGCTGTCATCCCCGGTGCTTTAGTAGTCCCTTCTCTGTCACCCTGTCGAGAGCTAGTTAAACCATGTGGAAATTGGGATAGCAAGATCTCCTCTCCTTGGGAAGGAGAGTCATCTCCCATTGCACATCCCTGAACTCTTCTCCTAGACCAGCCTGCCCTGAGGTCCACCCAGAAGCCCAGGCAGAAGGGCTCTGCATTGTTGGTGGTCGTCAAGACAGAGTCCCCCTTAAAAAAAATCTTACTCCGTAACCACTCCAGAGTACCTTTAATAAACGGAACTTTTAAATTAAAAGTGTGTGACACTGCGCAGCACTTCATTGTTGCCACAGTATACTGTATCTGATTGAATTCTCTGAGTATCCTGATTTGGTGAGTTGGTTTACATGTAGGAGAACAAAAGCAAGAGAGATTAAGTACCTAGCCAAGTTTACGTGGCTGTTAGTGGCAAAACTGGGACTGACTCTGTCCAGGGTTCTTTTCACCACACTACACAAGCTGTCCATAAATACCACGCCTAATTGATGCGCTGATGAGAATGATGCCCTTGTTGGTGCTGGGGAGCATCAGGCCGCATCACACTGTGCAGGTAAAGCCCGAAGGAGCTGGTGAGCAGGTGCAGCCTTCTGTCCAGACCTCCTTTTAAGCTACTGCTTTCCATGCTGAGTTTTGATTAAAGATCTAGGTCATCTAAAATGCAGCTCCATGGACTCTTCAGGGAGTAGCTCCTTCCTCTATTTGGGTACTAGTCCAGAGCTCAACTGATTTGAAGCTGATTTTCTCTAACTTTAAACCTTTCTTCCCAGGCGTGTGAAACAAATACTGATATATCAGATTCCATTATCTACAGTAGCTACATTATTGCTAATGTAAATAATAATATCTGTGGCAACTTCTCTGTCTTGGAAGATTCCACTCCACTGCTCCACTGATAAATAAGCTACCTGAGGTTTACTGATGCTTATTGCCACCTCTTTCATGGGCCTGTCTACCCAAGACCAATAAACATGACTTTTCACCAGCACTGAATTTACTTGTAAAAACTAAGTCGTTTCCTGATTGTGCTATCAAGTGTGAATGTCTCTGTCCTTCGCCTCCATCTCACCATCACATACACAACCCAATCCAGTGCTTAGAATTAGATCTAGTAACTTTCGCTAATTGCCTTATTTTTTGTGAAGTACAAAGACGTGACTTGAGATTAGCTTTAGTTGTAGAGAAATAGAGTTAATCTCTCTTCCTAGTCCAGACTCAACTTAGATCCTCCACCTCTCAGGGGTGTAGTGTACTAACCCAGGTTAGAAGATCATCAGACAGTCCACATTTGAGCACTAGGCCGTTACTGTCCTGGGGGAACTGGATCAGTACAGAAGCGCTGCCAATTTGGCTCAGGTTTCCCAGGTGTTAGGTTTAAAGTTGACTCATTTCACTACTGCTGGTAGAAAAAGAACGTAAATGGCAGAATTGCTCTAATAGAGAGTATAGTGTTTGATTTAGATATAAGAGGTCATTAGGGCTTGTCTTGGAAAATTCAAGTTCTAATGTCTAATGAGCAGCCTCATTCATTGCTGCTGCTGTATCGCCACGTCCCACAGACAAACACATCTTTACTGAGTCCAGTCAGTAGCTTTGAGCTGTTGGCTCTTATTTCAGGTTGGCTCTGTTCCTGGAGTCCCTGAGCTGTTCTTAGGTCTTGTTTCCCATTCTACTTTCGACATCCCCAAGAGAAACGGGGTAAGGTATTGGGGAAATATGAGTATTTTCCAGTCTCCCATCCTAACTATATAGAGAGAAGCACTGAGGTTCTATGCCTCAATGCATCTGCTTAAGATTCAGAGAATTAGCATGTCTCTAACCACCTAGGCCCCCCATGATTGACTGAAAACTAAAATAGTGACCCTAGCAGACATTTTTTCTATTTTCCCTACAGTATCTTTGGAATAGACATTCTAATAAAAAGTATTTTCTTTAATATTACCCCCTTAAGAAAAATACCTTTCTTTATTAGAATAACTCCGAGCCTGATGTCTTTGAAGAGCTGTGGGCTTTGGGATAGAGTATTCTGTTAGCTTTGGGTGGGAAAAGACAGGAACCCAAGCTACCATGATTGTTGTTCAATTGCTTTCTGGCACACATATCAGAATCTTCAGAATTCTTATCATTTGGTTTTCCTAGGTCATTAGTTATTGGAGTGGTGGGGGATCTGAAAGGAGAATTCCTGACTATTGATTGCTTATCAGTTAAGTGGTAGTAAGAGTTAACACTAAGTGTTTTCAGGCTGACCTCAGATAGCTTGAGGAGCACAGCTGTTTATAATTACAGTGATTATAGTATCAGGCTAACCCTGATGTTTCCAGAGTAAAATAAGAGGATGAATCCCTTTTCTAGGTAGCCTTGTGCCTTACCTGGGGCAACAGTGTTATTAATACGGAGGCGACGAGGCACAGTCAGCCCCCTCCTCTTTGCCATCCTGAGTCCTAAGGATGTGTCTGCTTGATTGTGCTGAGGATGTCAGCCTCTAGAGACCCTGGAATAAGTTGTTCTCAGATACTAACCCAAGACTTCCACAGAACAGGTTACGTTGATTCCAGACTCTCAGACTGAGTTTTCTCTTTATCACACTCAAGTGCCCCTTTAGTCACTGCGCTCTTCTTCCCAACCCTGAAAAAGTGGCCGTAAGCAACATCTCTGCTGGCTCAGACGTGTGTTACATGGAAGACCTGATGTGAGATTTATCCCTGTTGGCTGCTTCTGCCTTCTAGCAATAGGAACTTCTTGGAGTCCTTTTGTTTCAAGAACTCCCAGAAGGAGCTGGTACCCTGTGCTCCCCACTGTTTCCTGCATGTGTGGGATCCCTGCAGGGCCAGGGGAAGAGGCCGCAGCCAATCTCAGCATCATGTACGTGGTTTCCCATCCACCTCTGGTCTGCTGTACTGAACTAGTTGCCAGCGCACTGTCTTCCAGATTTGCCTCTGTGCTCTTTGTACTGTACTGGATCTTGTTCTGTCTGCTCCCATCAAGTCTTGGTTGGCTAGCCAACTAACACGAAGTCAGTGTCCATTCTCCCCACCCCTCACCCCTTCTCTGTTACTGAAAGAATAGAAATGAACTCTCTCCTAGCCCTTCTGCTGAAGTGGTAGGTGGGAGGTGCTCTGACCACTGTGGTCTCTGCAGGGGGAACCGTGAGGGGCTGAGCCGCACCTCAAGCAGCCGCCAGAGCAGCACAGACAGCGAACTCAAATCCCTGGAGCCACGGCCGTGGAGCAGCACGGACTCTGATGGCTCTGTCCGGAGCATGCGGCCCCCTGTCACCAAAGCCAGCAGCTTCAGTGGAATCTCCATCCTCACCCGGGGTGACAGCATCGGGAGCAGCAAAGGTGGCAGTGCAGGAAGGATCTCCAGGCCAGGTACCCCAGCTTCTCTCCTTCCATCGCTGCTTGCGTATCTTCTGCACAACATCACTGATAGTCACTTTTAACAAAACACTTGTCCCATATTGTGTCCCAGAACCTAACACAGCCAGATGAGGGGAGTTTGATTTCTTGGATCCATTGTCCTTTGAGTTCCTCTCTGATTTCCTTTCTAACCTTTTTTCCTAATTGAAAATAAACTGATTGGAATTAGATTATTTTACAAGATTTCTGTCCAAGGCGGGACAGCCCTGTCAACCCTGCTTCAGGTTGTGTACTAAAATAAGGATGATTCTGAGGCCGCTGAGACTATAAAATGGGTTTGTAAAGTAGAGGGAGCCTTAGAGTTTGTAGTTTTGTAGTTAATTGGGAGCAGCCAACAGGCTTGAAATTTTAAGCATCACTGCTGTAACTGCTTCTCTGGAGCCCAGTCACGGAAGAGGAGTGTGTGTCCCGCCTGCCAGCCTGGGAGCACCCATCAGCTCTCCTGAGCTGCTGTGTGACTTTCTCCATTGATTTCTGCTGCACTCTTAGCAGAGGGCCATTCAGCTCTTTTTACACAGTAAGTCACTGTTTCACCATCCTCCTGCCTCTGAAGAATTTCTTGACTTTTCATCCCCAAAGTTCTGTTGGTCTTGTCCTCAAAAGACATCAGTAGTAGCAGAGTTTGCTTTTCTGTTACACTTCTCTGTTACCTCTTTTCTAATCCCACTGCCTCTGCCTTTATCCAAGCTGGTTTCCTTGCCTTATCCTCAGCTGACCACGCTGTGCAGCTTGCAGGGATCTTAGTTCCCCAACCCTGGATTGAACCTGCACCCTCAGCAGTGAAAGTGCACTGTCCTAACCACTGGACCGCCAGGGAATTTCTTATTCTCAACCCTGTTTTGAGCCAGTTTACTAATCTAAAACATAGATCTAATCACATCAGTCTCCCTGTAAAAACATTCATGGTTCTGCATTTCTTGCATAATAAAATCCAAATTACTTAATATAGCATAACTTCCTGACTCCAGGTTGCCATCTCAGTCTTACTTTCAAACGTTCATCCTCTCCTGACCCTCCAACCATTTTCTGAGTATGGCATTAGCTTTGTCTCCTCTCAGCCTGAAAAGTCTTCTGTTCATACCTCAAACCTGTCTCTTCTGCCACTTCTTCTTTAAATTCTTCCCTCTAGCCCTCCCAAGAGTTATGCTTCCTAATCTTTGCTTTCATACAACTTTATTTATATCACTGATGCATCCTTTGTCCTTGAAAGTGAAAGTGAAAGTCACTGTGTCGTGTCCAACTCTTTGCAACCCCATGGACTATACAATCTATGGAATTCTCAGGCCAGAAAACTAGAGTGGGTAGCCTTTCCCGTCTCCAGGGGATCTTCCCAATCCAGGGATCGAACCCAGGTCTCCCGCATTGCAGGTGGATTCTTTATCAGCCAAGCCACAAGGGAAGCCCTTTACCCTTACCAGATTGTAATCGCGTGGATGTCCGTCTCCACTGGAAGATCCTGTCCTCTTCAAGGAGGAGGACTGTGTTTCCCTTACCTCTGTATCCTCAGTTCACTGTACAGTGCTTCACGCGGCATATATTCAGTAAAAGTATTTTGTGTAAATGCATTCGTGACTTGGACAGCCTGGAAATGAGGAAAATAGTTGGATGATGGCTGTGTGTGGGGTGTGTGCACAGCCATGTACTTGGAGGTTGTCTTCGGCAACTTTTATGAGATGCTGCAAGTTGAGAAGAAATGAAAAGAGAAGACAGGTCTCTTAAAGGACTAGGAATATATACCTTCCCAGGAAGCAAACATTCATTTTTCCAGCTGTCTAATCATGATGGACAGATTCTAGGCATTCCAGGGGTTCATTTTCAAAACCAAACCTTGACAGTCAAGTTGGTTATGGACACTGGGGAGTGGAAACCTGCTAAGATGAGGATTCCCATCAATAGGACATCTGAAATGCATCTCTGCTCATGCATCTATCTCCTAAGACAGTGGGAAGTCGAAGGGGAATGACAAGGACGTCCGCAAGGAAAGAGTCAGGCCCTACGACTGGGCCCTCCAGGGCTGGTATGTTCATGGCTTGTGCTTACAGCTCTTGCTGGATCTCCTCTGTGCCTTAGGAATGGCGCTAGGTGCCCCAGAAGTGTGCAGCCAGGTCACCTCATCCCAGTCTGTCCGGGGCCTTCTCCCGTGTACTGCCCAGCAGCAGCAGCAGCAGCAGCTTCCTGCTCTCCCGCCCACGCCTCAGCAGCAGCCGCCCTTGAGTAGCCACATGATCTCACAGGTGAGTCAGCACGCAGTGTTGGAGCCCCCCGCTCTGACTCAAGCAAGCTCTGGAAGTACAATCATGTCTCTTGTATTGTGGGTGGCAGGAAAGATCTGTTTTTGGAGACATGCCTCTCCCTCCCCTACTTCTGGTTTGTTAGTTGTGGGGAGAGAGGAGTAAGGGCAGAGGTTTGGCCAAAGGGCTCTTAGTAGAGTCAGCCTGGGAGGTTTTTGTTTTTTTTCTGCTTTATATTTCCTTCTCTTCATTCGGGAACTGTCAGTGGGATGTGTTACCCTCTCCCGTGTTTCTGCTGCACTGTCCATCTGGGAACTGTCAGTGGGATGTGTTACCCTCTCCCGTGTTTCTGCTGCACTGTCTGTCCGGGAACTGTCAGTGGGATGTGTTACCCTCTCCTGTGTTTCTGCTGCACTGTCCGTCCGGGAACTGTCTGTGGGATCTGTTACCCTCTCCCGAGTTTCTGCTGCACTGTCCGTCCGGGAATTGTCAGTGGGATCTGTTACCTCTCCTGTGTTTCTGCTGCACTGTCTCCCTCTGCATCCTGTGAAATTTCAAGGTGGCTTTGCTTCCTACGTCCACACGTGGAACTTGAAAAGATCACAGCTCCCACCATAGTCTAGCTGAATGTATTTATATGACTGTTGAGCCATAAAGAAATATTTATATATTGCGGTTTGGGGAAAAGTAAATAACCCTTATCAAGACTCATGTGCCATAAGCACATGCTCAGTCACTTCAGTTGTATCTGACTCTTTGTGACCCCATGGGCTATAACTCGCCGGACTCCACTGTCCATGGGATTCTCCAGGCAAGAATGCTGGAGTGGGTAGACATTTCCTTCTCCAGGGGATCCTCCCCACCCAGGGATCAAGCCTGCGCTTCCTGCATTGCTTGTGGATTCTTTACCCACTGAGCCATCTAGGAAGCCCAACCACAGGGCCCCCAGTGCTGTCTTTGTCTCCCATGCCACAGAAGAGCTCTCTCCTCCCCCTGCTGTCGGGCTGTTAGACATCGGTGCCAACTAGGGCTTGAGAAAGTTTGCTTCTGTGGCGACCATGCTGTGATCAGCACAAGAATCAGATCCTATTCTAAACTGGAACCTCCTACGTGTCTTAGGTGTAACGTCTCTTTAGTACTCTGAGGAGAACTGTGCTGAGATCTTCACCTTCTCTTTTCTTCCATGAATAGAGCCTGCACTTTCTTCTGAAGTATTCTCTGGTAGTCAGGAAGCCAATATGTCTGTGCTTTTTTCTGCTGCAGTTGAAGTTCTCTTTTCACCTCCCAGACTCTCTTAGCTCCATGCTCAGTTAGTCTAGCTTGGCCTCAGATAGATCTCTTCCATAGATACAAGAAGTCCTAAGCACTGATACCCCAAGGATTGGAAACTAGAGTGGGAACACTACAGAATGGCTCATCACTACCCCATTCAATATATTGGAAAATGAAACTAAAATAAAGAACTGTGAAGATCTAGGAAACTGCTTTGTAGCTTCACACACATGCTGGTCATTCCAAGTCCTTCATCTCAGTCCCTAATCAGTTTCTCTATGGTCCTGACTTTCTTTCCGATTCTACCACCCACCGTCTTTCCACCACCTCATTAGGTCTCATTCGCATCAGCTTACCTCCCTCCATACTGAAGCATAGCATGTGTGTGTGCTCCCCCCTCTGAGTCTCAATGTAGACCTGTGAGTGCGTAAACTCTGAACTTCCCCCTCTGGCCTTCCCCTGCTGCTTCTGTGTATGTGCTTTACTTTTCTAAGGTCCCAGAATAGTTCTTGTTTTCTCTAAAACGTGTGTATTTTAATACAGTTCTGTTTCCTTGTCTTCCTTTTAGTCTTCCGTCTGTCTCCTCCATCCATCCATATCTAGAGACAGACAGCAAGAGTGGGAGGGGGATAAAGACATAAGTAAAGAGAATAACCGTTTGGGACTGAAAAACTTTTAGATAGAATGTTCAGGTGACTGGCCCTAAATCCCAAACTTTTACCCAGATTCTTTCCGTGTTTCTTGAGTCATGAGGGTCAGTGGGTTGGTTGTTGGTATCGACTGATCATCTCCAGGCAGTACAGTGCTAGATTAGGTTGTGTAAATTGGGGACAGAGGAACATTATTTGGTACAGAGATCTCAGAAATTTATTGTTGCACTTAATTGTTATCACAAACTCCAAACTGAAAAAATCTTATGCTGGTTAATTTTGGTGTCTCTAAAGCACTCATGGTAGCTGCCCCACTATATATATCTCCTTTTCTCTTTATCCCTTTCTTCCTCTTCCTACTGCCCTTTTCTTTCTTCCTTTCTCTTTACCCCTGTCTCAACACTGGCGGCTCTCCAAACTCAAGTTGTTAAACCCCAGGATATTTACCATTTCATTTCTCAGTGGTATGTTAAGAGGGGATGAAGGAAGTGACCACACGCACACACCACTGTGCTTACCCTAAAGGTTTTCCTTTTGAAGAAAAACCTTTAGCTTTGTAGCAACAAGCATTTGCCCCAGGCCTGGGTAAGCTCTGCTCTTCCCCATCTTGGCACCCCCTGCTGTTAGAGCAGGCTTCCATATCACGCATCAGTAGAACGCTTGAAACCAGGGAGTGACCCTGAGGATTAAAGGCGAGTGGCTACCTTTTGCTCAATTAACTTAGAGTAGACCTTTTGAAAAGGAGTCCTCTGGGGGGGCCTCTCCCTGGAGTCCAGTCAGGATTCACGAGCAACGATCTAGCCCAGAAGTCACCAGTAGGTGGCAGTCACATCCCCAGGTCCCGTCTCTAGCTTTGAGACTCTCCAAGAAGAGAACTGTGCCTGAGGGTAGTGGTAGATTAATTTAAAAACAGCGCTGAGAACACGTGCCTCTACCACTCCCTTCCTCGGTCTGGAGGGGCCGAACAGAAGAGCATTGTTTCTTTGCTCTTCACTTTTTTTTTAATTATTTTTTTTTATTGAAGGATAATTGCTTTACAGAATTTTGTTTTCTGTCACACCTCAACATGAATCAGCCATAGGTATACATATATCCCCTCCCTTTTGAACCTCCCTCCCTCTCTTCACTTTTTATTCAAAACTCACAAACATGAGGAGAAACAGGCAGTTATTTTGCGACTTCACTGTCCCTAAGGCCTCCCATTGTCCACCAGAGAACGTAAGGCCTGACATATGGCAGGCCATCCCTCAAGAGGGAGAAGTGGATTAGGATCATAGAAAACGGGTCTAAAAGTTACCAGCACATGCTGAGCAGCTTGGCCAGCAGTTATATTTGGAATGTCGCCGACTTACAGAAAATAGGTGTGCCAGCGTTGCCGAGAGTTTGTTCTCAAGGCTGTGGCAGCGTCTCACTCAGGTCACACAGTTGATTCTTGGTAACTTTTTCCGAGATGATTTACATTGTATTCAATGCAAATATCAGGAGTATTCTCCATATTGGGAGTCTTCTGATTTTTGGACTGCCTGCCTCTGGAGCTGTTAATCCCCTCTGAAAGGGTCTCCCAGGAGAGATATGGTAGGCAGATATATATATATATATTGATGCCTTGGTTCCCCCACAACTAACTCTTAATACTCTAAATTTGAAAGGAGGAAGGAGAATTATACAAACAAAAAGATATTTCTGTAATTGTTTGACTTCTTGCTTTACCTTTTCCCTACTGCTGGAGTGGAGTGGAAAGAACATATGTCAGGCACAACTAGGTTCCTGTCCCTCCTCTGCCACATTAGCTGTGTGATCCTGGGTATGTGATTTAATTTCTCTGAGCCCTATTACCTTAGTTGCAAATACACATCATCTCTCTGTCAGCTAATTGTGAGGTGGTAATGAGATAAGTGTATGTAAATGAGCAGTGTATCTCAGTGTTCCCTCCCCCTCTCCTCAGAGGGCTCGAGAAGCTCTGACTGGAGAGCTGATGAGGTGATTGAAATGACTGGAGGGGAAGAAGAGAGAAAAAAATAACTCCTTATTAGTTTGTTTAGAAAACACCATGTCCCTAATAAACAATCCTCCTGCTTGAGGCAAGTGAAGGAACCCAAGGAACAAAAGCTAAAACTAGGCTATTTATATTTTATTCCTAAATCCTTCCCTGTTTGCTTATGGGAGCATTTTTAATACTGCCCTGTCAGCCTGGAGGAGCACGGGAGAATATCATGGAGCAAGAGGAAGTAGCGCATGAACTGGCTTGTTTTTCCTTCTTTGCCCTCGGGAGGGAGATGATCCTTGTAAATGAGCACTCCTTCAAAAGAGCTGTGGTGTGAAGTCAGGAGCCTGCCTGGGAGAACCGAGCTAAACCTTGGATGACCCTTGCTACAGAAGCAGGAGTCCCTTCTCAAGGAGGGTTTTGCTCCCCAGGAGTCCTGTGCCTGGGAGAAATGCCTAGGGAACAAACTGTGTCTAGAACCGGGCGGCAAACCCCAGCTCTGAGAGCCCTAAGATTGTATACAGCAGCTGCAGAGTTCTGAGTGTCTGCAGTGGGTCTGTGCTGATGGTGGAGATTGCCTGTTGGTCAGCGATGTGAAAGCTAGAGACCAAGTCTGCCGTATTCTTCATGTGAAATTTCTCTTAGGATTAACCTTGTTGTTCCTCCCTTCCTCCCCTTCTCTGCCTCACCCCGCCCCCTCCCCGCCTCTCCCTAACCTCCGGTGCTCTCGCCTTCCCTCGTCTCACTGCTGGTCCACAGCCAGTCCCGGCCCTGCAGCCGTCTCCGCAGCCTGTTCAGTTCTCTCCAGGCTCCTGTCCCCAAGTTCTTCTGCCAGTCTCTCCGCCCCAGCAGTACAACATGGTATAAACTCCATTCCCCCTTGGTGTCTTGTTCGTGTGTGGCCTGCGTCTATGGGCATGTCTGGGCAGTCTGTGACAACCTTGCAAAGCAGTTATGCCTTTTAGAGGACCATTGTTAGGAACATATTTCTTCTTTAGGGGCCGGCACAGGCTGAACTATACTTCATTTCTAGTGACCTCCTCACAGTACTTCAGGCATCAAAGATGCCTAAGTGTAAGACAGAGAACAGAGTTCCCCTGAGTTTCAGGAGGGGAACAGGATCAGAGGTTGATCTAACCTGGGCTCCTCTTCCTCTCCACCATGTGCATTCTCCATCGCATCTGCCTCCCGGCCATGTTGGAGGAACCCAGTGTATTCTGTGCTGTAGAGAATGATTCTCTATAATTTCCTTTAAAAATAAAAACACAGTTGCAGATTTCTCTGGTACCACTGGTAAAAGCTTCAAATGTTTCCCTGTTTTACATAAAAATCCTCTTCTGTTGTATAGCATGTGCTGTTTAAATTGTTTGTACCCTGACAAATCCTTTATAAAGATCTGGTCTGTCTCATAGTTGGTGACTTCTAGCCCTGACTTTTTTCCAATTTTGTGTTAATCATACCTGTCTGCTTTTTCAGTAGAATCCCTTTTCTTTCACCTCTTAGCTCCATACTGAAAAGTTTTAGAATATGAACCTCAAAATGGTAACTGCAATCCAGTGCTCTTGTCATCTGTTCCTTCCCACTAAGTTAGCAAAATAGCTAAGATCAGATCCCTGAAAATTGAGTGAAACCACAGGAAAGTACTAGCTTTTGTTTCTACTAGTTTCGTTTGCAGAAGAACTTCTGCTCTGCATGTGTATGTGTATATGTATGTTGATTACTATCCATGGAGCAAAGGAGATGAGAAAGTTAACAGACTAACCTATCGCTATACGAGTGAGAGATGGAACACCCTCACCCTAGCTGCTTGGAGAAGAGGGCCGAGAGAGAAGGCAATTACAGATTAGTCAGTTAGTCTCTCTCCCCAGCTCAGCAGCTCACCCTGGCCTCCTTTCAGAGGTGAGAATTGGAAGTGGTTTCTGAAGGGCAGGAGAACACTCGCAAGTGTCAGAGAACAGAGGTGGAAATGACTTCAAGAGGGAGTAAGGAGATAAGCAGCAGGAACTGGGATCCCACCAGTCTTTCCAATGCATAGGCAGAGCTGGGGAGCCACATGAACCTACCGATCATCCACACAAGGTGTTATCTAGGTCCTTTATTATAAAAATGAGATTTATGACAACATATACGCCCTTTGCATAGTTGGAGGCATGAGGAAGACAGGAAATGGAAAGACTTAAATAGTCTTTTTTTTCCCCACTAGTTTGTCCTGTTTTTTCTATATATAGAAGTTGTGTCATTGCTCCCATTTCCCCAGGACTAATTCTAATAAAGGTCATAATCATAGTGGCCGTTGTTACCTCATATGTGATAGGGAGACTGGCTCTGGAGTTGGGCTTCAGACAGCTTTCGAGTCATAGCAGTTTGAAACACCACATGACAGAGTCTTGGGCTAAAAAGTACCTCCCAGGGCACAGAGGTGGGAACATCCCAAACTGGTGTGAGGAAGGCGGTAGAGAGGGTTGCTATTTCTGTCTGTCTTGTCTGTGTTGAAGTCAAAGACCTGGGGCTTGATATGACCTCAGTCCTTGGGTCTTCCCCACTCTCTCAACAGGCAGATGATCTCAGCAACCCCTTTGGACAAATGAGCCTTAGCCGCCAAGGTTCTACTGAAGCAGCTGACCCATCCTCAGCTCTGTTCCAGCCCCCACTTATCTCCCAGCACCCTCAGCAGACTAGCTTCATCATGGCGTCTACAGGGCAGCCCCTCCCTCCTTCCACTTATTCCACCTCTAGCCATGCACCACCTACCCAGCAAGTCCTGCCACCCCAGGGCTACATGCAGCCCCCTCAACAGGTGAGTGGCTTGGGTTTCCAGTCTAAATCATGAGTTCAGTTTATCCAGTATTATAAACCTTCTTTCCTCTAGTTTAGACAGACCAGAGGAGATACCTGTCTGCTACCCACCTCCATTTCCCCACCTTTCTCTTGAGAATTGTCTTTCTAGTCAGAAGGACATCTGTCAAATAACACAAGTCCTTCCTCTTCTGTTTCAAACTTGTACACAAATGCTGCAGTTGCAGACCCAAAATATTTCTGTTTACAGACTCCTGGAATCAACTGTGATGTATTTAATAATTAGGGGACGTTGGGGGCTGAATTTGAGGGACCTTCTCATACATCTGTTTCCTCTCACCATAGATCCAGGTGTCTTACTATTCCCCTGGACAGTATCCCAATTCCAACCAGCAATACCGACCTCTGTCTCACCCGGTGGCCTATAGCCCCCAGCGTGGTCAGCAGCTGCCTCAGCCATCCCAGCAGCCTGGTAAGAGGAGCTGCTGATGTAAGGAGGCAGCGAGTAAGGGAAGGACAGCGACTGGGAAAGAATCACGCTCCCTGTTTAAAAAGCGGTGGGGGAGGGGAGTGGTGGCCGGAATGGTCAGGGTCCTAAAGAGGAACCTGTGATCTCCAAAAAGGAAGGAGAGTGACTGAGAGAGTGTGACCTCTGCTGATGTCTTCTCTACTCTGCCTGCCCCTAGGTTTACAGCCCATGATGCCTAACCAGCAGCAGGCGGCTTACCAAGGCATGATCGGGGCCCAGCAGCCACAGAGCCAGGGCCTGCTCAGCAGCCAGAGGAGCAGCGTGGGGGGCCAGATGCAAGGCCTGGTGGTTCAGTACACTCCACTGCCTTCTTACCAAGTGCGTGCACTCTGAGTGGGGAATGACCCTGTCCTCGGGGTGAGGGAAGGAGGACAGTTCACACGGCTGTCCTCGAGGCTGACGGCTCCAACACTGAAACACTGCTTGCTTTACCTCTAGCACTTGTAGGGCTTCTTCCTCTGAAAGAAAGTCCAGAGAGTCTGAGAAGAGTCTTTATTTAAACTGTTTGGTCTTTATACCATGCAAATGAGCACATGCCCAGAAAAGTAGGATCCAGAGGAAGTTAGGCTCCTTCATGTACATCAGATGCCCAGAGGCATGTTTGGAGGAGGGGCGTGGGCGTAGCACTAAGCGTCTCCTTTAGGTGAGGAGGCTAAGAGGGTCTCTCAAGGTCGGGGAGGAGGTTAGAGTGTCCCCGTCCAGTGATGACTGAGCTGTTCTTTGGGTGACTTCATTTCGAGTAAAAGTGGTCATTCTCTTCTTGTCTTCACCCAGGTCCCAGTGGGTAGTGACTCACAAAATGTGGTCCAGCCGCCTTTCCAGCAGCCCATGCTGGTCCCTGCAAGCCAATCTGTGCAGGGGGCCCTCCCCGCAGGGGGTGTTCCAGTGTACTACAGCATGATCCCGCCCGCCCAGCAGAACGGCAGCAGGTGAGGGCTCCCAGAGAGACGGGCGAGTCTCCCGCAGACCTTCAGCATCTGTTGCACCGTGGCTTTTATCCCACTGGGAAAGAGAGGCAGGGGTGATGATTCCAGGGGTAGGGGCTTCCTGGTGCTCCGGCGGTGGCTCAGACTCAGTGCTCCCAACGCAGGGGGCCTGGGTTCGATCCCTGCTCAGGGGACTAGACTCATGTGCCTTAACTAGGACTTGGTGCAGTCAAATAAATAAATGTTTATTTTTTAAAAAGCTCAGGGGTACCCCAAAGCAGGTAGAACATGAGGGAGTTCATTCTCCTTGTTAATTTGATATTTGCATAAGAATTCATTAGCAGGAAAAAATTCCTGCTTCAGAAACAGAGGCTTAATCATTTCCCCCAGCTTTTGTTTTTCTGATCAGTGGGTTTTAGAACTATGAAATGGAGACTGCTGATTGTTTTTAAAGCAGCAGTTTGGTGTACGCACATGTGAATTTCCCGTGTGCTTCTGCTGCTGTGGGTGAATCTGAGGTGTCGTCTCTGTGCATCTGTTTATGTACCTTAGTATGTTGTTGCTAAGTCGTGTCCAACTCTTTGCAACCCCGTGGACTGTAGCCTGCCAGGCTCGTCTCTCTGTGGGATTTCCCTGGCAAGAATACTGGAGTGGCTTGTCATTTCCCATTCCAGGGGATCTTCGCGACCCAGGATCGAACCTGCATCTCCTGCATTGGTGGGTGGGCTCTTTAGCACTGGGCCACCAGGGAAGCTCGTATGTCTTAGTATAATGAGTGTAATTTTAGAGATAGAAGGTTATCTTAGAAATATCTAGTCCACTCCCCTTGTTTTATTTTCTGCCCTTCTTCTATAAATGAGGAAATTCCAGCTAGGAATATTAAGAAACTTACTCAAAGTCATACAGCTAGTTAGTAGAAGCAGAGCTGAGACTGGAACTCAGTCTGGGCCTACGTCGATGTATCTGTGTGTCTCAGTGTACATGTGTTTATTTCTGTCTTTTTTTTTTTTAATGTGTCTTGAATTTTGTGAGATTTTCCCCTGTTTTTCTTTAATTGATGATCTGTGTTTGCCATTAAGAAAATACCCTGTCTCCTTAGTTGTGTTTTTGCCCATCTCTCTAGCACTCTAGCCCTGTGTGTCTGTTTCTGGCACTCTCTTTGTGTTTCTCTTGTGTTTCTGAGAGAGAGAAAGAGTGTGTGAGTGTGTGTGTGTGTGTGTGTGTGCACGTGCGCGTGCACTTGCATGAGTTATGTATTTGGTGTTTCTACACTGTTGGGAGGGGTATGTGTCACCAGCATTCCATCTGTAGCACTGATTAGCAGCTTCCTAATTGAAAGATGATCAAGTACAAATATATATAATTAACTTTGAACTGATGAGTGATTTTAGAAATTGCATGGCAGATTGGTCTGGGAATGGCTTGGAGCTGCCTTGGCCTCCCACAGCGGAGGCCCAGGAGGCCACAGCTGTCTGCCAGGAGCAGTGTTCCTCCTCTCCCGCTTTACCAGTCCCCTCTTCTCCGTGTCCGCAGCCCTTCTGTGGGGTTTCTGCAGCCTCCTGGCTCTGAGCAGTACCAGATGCCTCAGCCTCCCTCTCCCTGCAGCCCGCCGCAGATGCCACAGCAGTACTCAGGTAAGAGCGCAAAGGCCGGCGGGGCCCTGGGCACTGCTGAAGAGCTGGGTCGGGCAGAAAGGTTCAGGGGTGGGCTCTGTCCCCAGCTGTGACTTCATCAGGAGGAACGACCGAAGGTCTGGCTGGCTGCTGTTCTCCAGAGGTGTTGGAACTGACCCCCTGGAGAGGTGAGGTGGTGTGCCTGATCCTGATCCCTGCCCCCGGGGAACCGCGTGACGACTGGGTTCCTTGTTCCCTTCCTCTCTCCTTCGTTTCTCTCTCTCTCTGCTGAATCCAGCATTGTGACTGGGTTACGATGCACGTGCCTTTACGACATAAAGTGCTTCTATCTCTGTCTCTTGCACTCATTCTTCCTATAAATAGCTTTTCTTTTCTCTTGGGAGTGTGAGGAAGGCTGATAAAATGCTTTTAAAATTGTATCTTAGATTTGTTTAGCAATTTTTCATTTGTACTTACATACATTGTGTCCTTTTAATTCTCTCCACAACTTTGTGAAGAGAAAATTTAAGACTCAAAAGAGGGATAAATTTTGCGTAAGGTCACAATCCTAAAGCTTGCACTTGGGTCCTTTGACTTTCTGTGGGGCCTGCTGCATCCTCTGACGCATTTTCAGCAGGTTTCTGTACTATATCCCTTTCCCTCCAGTGGAAGCAAACAGGCCTTCTTTGGAGGGGCTGGTTACCCCGTGTCAGTGCACTTAATGCCACACAGCTTGTCTGTCTTTGCCTAGAACCGCCCCCACCCCCCAATATACCAAGAACAACTGCTGTTCCCCTCTCACCCTACCCTGACCTATCATTGCACTGCATTTAAATTGACTTCAGGGGTTCTGGAGGGGAGGGGCTCTTAAGGCAGCCTCCAGCCTTCCTCATTCCACTCTACAGTAGGAATGTCAGAGTGCCCTCTTCTGGTGAGATAAGGTATTTTGCCAGTTTTTCATGTTTTAGAAATGGGATCTTTTTCACACAAGATTTTCTGTACTCTGTGTTGGGTGCTGTGGAATAGATTCCAGAATTAATCTTGCTCACAAGACCTGATCAATTCTTAGCTTCCAGGAGTAATGATTTCTGCCTTTATCCAAACCAACCATAGATCTCTTACAGGCTGAGGTTTTAAAATTCAACAACCCTTACTACCCTTTACTCCATTATTGGTCTCTCCAGCTGTATCTCCTAGTGTCCGCCAGGGGCAGTTGACCTTGAAATTCCCAACGGGGTATGGAAATGATAGAAACTAGCTCCAAGAACTGCTGTAGCCTGTGGTGGTTCTTGATACCGCAGGGCATTTTCTCTCCGATTTGTTAAGATAAGTGTGTGTGTGTGCATATGGGTATAGTTGTATGTGAATTTCTGTGTAAATCCTTAGTGGTATATCAGTATATCAACTGGGTCTCTGCATTTATATCTCTTCATGTACAAATACAAGGTCTTTGAATTAGAAACAAATCAAGTGAAAATAATTTTGCAGTACCTACTGTGGACCTAATGATAAGTGAACTGAAACAGCTATTGGTTCTGAAAATTGGCACTAGAGATCTGGACTGGAATTGGAAGGAGATAATCTAGGCTCTTCCCCAAATTAATAGAAATAGACAAAACCCTCTTCATCATCTTAATTTTCCTTGCTGCTTTAGAATTTTCTAGTATATTTCCTTTCTTTCTAGCCACCCTGATTGACCTACGCTTCTCACTGACCCCTTGTGCTTTTCCTGGATGATGCCCTCTATTCCACCCACATCATCTAAGAGACCTATTCACCATGTCATTGATCTTAAAAGTCTTCAGTCCCAGGGCACGGGACCCTTAAGAGGAAGTGGAAGAGAAGGGAGAGTGCTTCTTTTGCCTTCCTTTCCAGTTCGCCCTGTACTGGAAAGCTAGAAGCCCAGCACTGCCCACAAGGGCTGCTGTGTCGCCTCCAGAGGGCGGTCACCCGCCCTTCTCCCATGCAGCAGCATGGTCACTTTTCCAAAAATAAAGGCAGGGCTCAGGAGCGACTGTTCTGGAGCAGCTGTCCCGGGCCGTGGACACGTTTCTGTAGCTGCCCGGTTTACCCCCGGGCCTCGGCCTTAACTCCCCCACTGTGGTTGTAGGTGTGACCCTAACCCTAGGAAACAGTTTTCTCCCCACTAAAATAATGACCTGCAGGTCCTTTGAGGTTTCTGCAGGCTTGTCTTGGGAAGATGCACACGGACATGAAATGGCAATGAAACCTATGCACAGACTCTCAACTCACAGTGACACAGCAGCGTGGCCAGAGTGAGGTACATACAGAAATAGCTTCCCACATACTTACTGGCTCATTTTGTAGCTGAGGGCTTTCCAAAGCGGAGATAACTCTTTTCTCTCCCCACTTCCTGAAGATAACCCTCTCCCCCACCAAAAAAGGGAAAAAGACGAAGATACTGTAGGATTATATCCTGTAATTTGGGAAAGATGCCTGAGGGATTTTATTTCCCTGGACATTCCTTCCCATAGATTTCACTCCAGATGGTAAAGAAAAAGCCTTATCAGTTTTCTACCTCAGTGATTTAAAAAAAAAAACAAAACAAAAAAACAACTAAACAAAAACCAATTCTGCCGGACATAAATGTCATCTGTTTATATTTATGCGGTTTGCTCTGCCCAATCGACCTTTCTGCCCAGGTTTAATGATGCCACTTAAAAAGCCATTCACACGTCCCCTCTCTTTTCAGAGCTTTCAAGATGAAATTGATTTCCTTATTCAATTCCCTTCTCCCACTTGCTACTCTAACCCAGGCTTCTTCCCCCAGCCTGATAATATGGAAGTGCTGTCCTTGGGCACTGCCGTGGGGGGTTTTGTTTTGGGAGATGTGGGCAGTTTTTTGCCATGTGCATTAAGAAGTGGCCACAGTTCAGCTGCTCACGGATGCCACCTGCTTCTGGCCTGAGGATGAGAGGCATAAGAATCAGCTCATCAGCAGAGTAGTGCTTCTGTCCTCGGCTGAGTGAAGGAACAGCGCTCCGGGCCAGCGGGGGAGGACTCAGTGTGGGGAGGACTCAGTGTGGGGAGGCTGCGCCTGAGAACCCTGCAGGAGCTCAGGAATGAGGCTGCGACTGAGAGCCCTGTCTTTGTTTTTGTTAGGGTCTGAGAAGATAATATGAAGACTTTGTTCTCTTCCCCCCTCCACTTTAGACCCCTCATAGCTCCTTATGGCTACATGTTGGCATTATAGAGAGCATCTACTGCCTTGCTTCTGCCCACACCCCACACATTCACACATCCTCTGCCCTTTCCTGGCCCAGGGCATTAGGCTTAGGTTATATGTTGCCTTCCAGAAAAGCTGTAGATTTGATTATTTTTGCCTTGGCCCCCTCAGCAGTGAGGTATTTGAAGAAGGTCAGTTGCAGTTTTGTGGCGAAAGGACTTTGGCGCAGGTGGAGCTGCTAGGATGGGAGATACAGTGCCCAGAGCAACTGAAGTAAAGGGGGAGTTGTTAAATGCATGCCACTTCACCACTGCGCAGTTTTCCTGTGGCCCGTCCACAAGCTGTGCTGGTGAATACCCGTCCCCTCTGGCAGGGGAAGGGAAGGTGTGAGCCTGCCATCCTGAGTGCGTGTGCTCTCTGGTCAGATGAACCCTGGAGGGTGGGGGAGGGCACAGACGGGGAGTCAGACCCACCAGATGCTGTGTCTCCTGACCTGTTCCCAGACCTCCCCCCGTTTCTTTTCCTTCCCTTTGACCGATGCTACCTGAGAAAAGCAATCACGCTCACTTCCCAGCATGACTGGTGCCCAGGGCAGAGGCTGCACCATTTCCTGTCACAGGAAGCAGTGTGATGGGGGTGGCAGTGGCAGCCCCAGAGCGCTGAGCCCTGAGACAGCGCGCTGCAGCAGGTTTTCCATCTAGCGACCCCCGGCCCCATCTCCCTGCCACCACACACACATGAACTCAGCCTGTCCACCCCCAGGAGTGCAGGCTGCGGGTCATGAGCAAACCCTCACACTAGACAGTCCCCTTTAGGGAGGTGGGGCTCCTGCCCATCCCTCCCAGCAGGAACTGTCCATCAGACCACTTCTCCCTGACCCCTCACGTTGCTTTTCACCGTGAGGAAGATTCAGGACTTAGTATTCCTCCTCAGTGAGCCTTTCCTTCCCCCAGCCTGTGAGAGGGTAAGACTGCATCCATGGTTGCCTGGACTAAAAGCCCATGGCTACAGCCTGTCAGTAAAATCTTCAGAGGGTCTCACCCTGCCACTCCATTCCTGCTCTCACTGCCCTAATTCAGAACCACTTTGTTCTGTTCCAGTAGACTTCTAACCAGTTTTCCAGTCACTAGTCTCCACCCCCCTTCAGCCGTCTTACCTTTGGCCACTTGGGTTAGCTCTCTGAAGCACAACTCCTGTTTCCAACACCTCTGGGATACAACCCTTACCTGAATGTGCTTCAGATTCTTGACACCAGCTATTTGTTTAATGTCCAACTCTCTAATAGACTGTTCATTCTGTTGGGGTAGAGACCGGTTTTTTTGTTGTTGTATATCCAGTGCCTGGCATAGGAACTGGTACTGGTAAGCGTTCCATAAACGTTTGTTGAATAAATGAAGAGATGTATCTCGTCCCCTCGTACTTCCCCTGCATAGCTCCTGGGCCTTCCTTAGCACCTTGAATGATCTGTCATTTCCCGAATGTGACATATATCTCCATGCCATTCCCTCTACTTGAAGTGTTCCAACTCACCCTATCCTTGCCCAAGAATTAATGTCCTGGATCTGGCGTAGTAAAGCTGTGCACATTTATCTTCTCCAGAACAACCAGAGATCACTGACTTATCTGCAGCCATTACCAGAAAAGCCTGTACATGCCTGCAGCCCTGGCCCAGGCTCCAGCCTGGGACCTGTACCATGCCCAGACGTTTGAGCAATCTGACCTGGGCGTTTGGTAATAGCTAACTATGACAGGATGGAGTAATTTCCAGCCAAGCCTACCAAAGTACCCCCTCAACCAGGTGAAGCCAGGAGAGCATTGGCATCTTCCCCTCAAACTTCCACTGGTATGAGGAGAGAGAGTCAGAGACCAAATCAGCAACTGTTTCAGATTCCTGGCAGGACACAGTTTAAGTGACCCTGAAGCCAGTGGGTGGATTTGCTTACTGGCTTTCCCACCCAGGGTTAGCTGACAGGCTAAAATGTGGTTTGAATTCATAACCAGCTGCTTTTTTCCTGCCACACAGGAGTGTCAGCTTCTGGACCGGGTGTGGTGGTCATGCAGCTGAATGTCCCTAACGGACCCCAGCCTCCCCAGAACCCATCGATGGTCCAGTGGAGTCACTGTAAATATTACAGCGTGGACCAGCGGGGTCAGAAGCCTGGAGACCTGTACAGCCCCGAGAGCAGCCCCCAGGTGAGCCCTGCACACAGCCTGGTCTGGCGGGAGGCGGCCAGGTTCTCTGCAGGAAGCCGTCTTCGCCGCTGACCATGCAGCCTCTGTTACCCTGAGCACTTTTCAGAAGAAACCCAGGAAAGGGGGCAGAGCATCTTCTTTCAAGGAACCTAAGACCTGAGGTGGCAGATAGGACACATGCTTAAGAACGCCAAGGGAATACTTAAAACAGGTTGTCAGGAGGTGAATATTAAAATAATACCAACTAATTAGGCGCTCAGGGGCCGGCGTGAAGGGACACTCTGACTTTGACGGAGCTCAGCAAGAGAGGTTTGCTGGCAGAGGTGACTCCTCAGCCGAGCTACCGGAGCGGCGCAGAGGGCGGGCCCTGGTGTGTGTGACATGCGCCCCGCTCTCTCGCCCAGGCCAGCACGCAGATGAGCAGCAGCCCGGTCGCGTCTCCTGCACAGTCTCCAGCACCCGCTCCTGTCACCAGCCTCAGCAGCGTCTGCACAGGACTCAGCCCCCTTCCTGTCCTCGCACAGTTCCCCCGGCCCGGCGGTCCCGCCCAGGGTAAGCTGGGCTGCTGTCAGCCGCCAGGTTCACCCTGCACACCCCATTCCCAAGTGGGGGGTCAGGGGGCAGCAGCAGACGGAGAATCACTGTGGCCGCCCATCCAGTCCGTGGGAGCCAGCTCGGCCTTTAGCGTCCCTGTTTAGGCCAGAGACACACCCCCCTTGAGTGCTGCCCAGTTACCTTAACTCTAGATCTCCTTCATGAATGTAGATTTCTTCCAAGTCCCCAGAGGCTGTGAGCCAGGGAAAAGTTCCCTGAACTTTGTAATGAACAGGAAAGAGTTTAACCCATCAGTACTGAGTGTGAGGGCTGGGAATATGGGGTGTGTCAAAGATAGTATGGTTTTAGAAAAGGGAATGCTGGGTTTGAGTGAAAAGACTTGGGTTCACCCCCAACTACTGTGACAGACAGAAGCTTAGAACAGCCGCTCTTGCTATCTGTTCCCCAGGGGACACCAGCGGAGGCTCCGCTGTGGCCGTCGCAGACGGCGAGGGGCACCCTGGCACTGCTGCTGTGCTCTCTGTTAGAATCACAGGTTACTCGAGTCTGCTGCGATGCCACCCGGCTCGTGGCAGTCCTGCCCCCTGCACCTGGCAGGTGGGGGGCGTGGCCCCTCCCTCCAGCCGGGGGTGGGTGGGCCAAGGAACCTAGTCCCACGCCACCGAGCCCAGACGACCACCTCCCTCCCATGATCAGGAAACCAGAGGTCACCTTCCCACAGAAACTTTATTTTTCACAAATCTCAAGTGCAGAACATAGATGACCATTTTAATAAACACAGTCAAATTTTTAACCAAGAATTTACAAGAATTAAGAGTTTTATAGCTTTAAAACATACAGCCAATATTTTATTTCAGAAATAACTCAATTTCTTAAAAAGGAAAAAAAACAAAGACTTGAGGTCAAATTCTAGTCCTGCCACTGACTGGTGTTGTGGGGCTGAGTATGCTACCATGCTACCTAACTTAGAACCAGACCTAAGATGAGAATATGGTTTAAAACTTCAGAGTGCTCTGAAATACAGTATCTGTCACCAATAATAGGTAACACATAGGTGCTATATCTTATAATCATTTAACCGCACCAGTGCCGATGAGAGAAGAACATGTCCAACATCCCATCTTCAGTAACAGAGACAGAATTTGAATATAGTCTGGCTACAGGTCTTTCTTCTTGTCTACTACACTGTATTGCTTCTCATGTAAGTCAGAAACTTGAGCCCTGGGTTTAGGGTGAGAAGCAACTATATGAGAAATAAAAGACAGTTATAAGCATCTGTAGGTTTCCTCCAGGGCCTTTTGTCTTCAGTGAACAGAGCCCTTCTTCAAAGATGAGGGAACCTAATAACCCCTTCTGTCCAAGACACAGCTGAGAACCAAGAGGGTTAGGAAGAAAGACAGCGCTTAACCAGTGACATGGGCACTCCTGTCACAGAAAAGGTAGGAATAGTATGCATTGTTGCAGTCCATCTCCAAAGCCCCATGAAGGCTGTCTGAAGTCACACCAAGCAGCGCAAACTCCTGGAAAACCATCCGTGCTTCCCCCCAGGTGACGGTCGCTACTCCCTCTTGGGCCAGCCGTTCCAGTACAATCTGTCCATCTGCCCGCCCTTGCTGCACAGCCAGTCAGCTTACACGGTGCACCAGGTAAGGGCGTCTCCCATCAGCCTCAGGGCCGCTGGGGTCTCCTTCTCACCCCGGTCCCCGCTTCTGAGCCATCACCTCAGCCAGCTGGGCAGCCAAGGGGGACGACGCAGAGAGAGTGGACCCAGTGGGAGGAGCCTCCGCCCCGCTCCTGTGGTCATTCTTCCCGCCCTGCTAGTGCCAGGAGCGCGGGGCCCCTTACTTCTCACTGGCCGCTCTCTGGCCAGTCTGCCTGCCTGGTAGGGTGGGATCCTCAGGGTTGCATACTGCTCCCGAATCTCAGACAGACTGGGATGCAAGGCAGTCAATATTGTTTACCTGGAATGAGAGTTATCTTTCAAATGTTGAAGGGGCAGAGTGGATTGAAGCATGGAAACCGGAGCAAGAGACAAGCGCTCAAATCTGCCTCCACTGACCTGGGGACGACCGACGTCGGTGAGTGATGGGCTGCTGAGTCCCCACGGGAAGAGCTTAAGCCTCCAGCTCTGCGTTTCCAGTCCAGGATGGTGAGAACGGGCAGCTTAGGGTCAGCGGGGAGTCAAAAGAGGACCTTTTTGTGTAGAGCAGGAGAAGCTGGAGAGATGGTGTCTCAGACCTTCTTACCAAGCCGCTCCAGGTCTTGGGGAAGAGGAGGGTAAAAATGGTGAATAACACAATGATGAAGTTTGTTGAGCCTGCTATTAACAGAGAATCTTGTGGAAGTGGTCCTGACCCTGATATAGAATTATCTAACTCTGGTAGTCCTAGACCCAGTTTAGGAGAGGCTTGATACTAGAACCTGAGGGAGTAGCTCTCCTCCTGCAGGCCTTCCATTCTAGGCATACAAGATCTCTTGGAGTTTCCCCTGTTTGAAGCAATTTGCTAAACAAGAAGAGGAAGGGAAACTGACTTCCCTAGATGATAAGGAAGAAGAATCTACCTGGGCCAGCCTCTGGGAAGGAAATGGGACATATTTCAGATTGAGCTGTTAACTTTGTGAACGAACATCACCAAAAGCCATACTTCTTCATGGTGATGGCGCCCCATGCGACAACTGAGGTATAGGTTTCCAGACCTTAACGCTGGCACTCTGATCCCCAGTCTCTTCTTGCCTTCATCTCTAGGCTGAGAGAAGAGAAAGGCTCTTTGTGTCTCCCTGTTGCCCTGATCAGAGTCTGCATGGTGGGGAGTTGGGCTGACGTGGGAAGGAAGGACAGGATTGAGTGAGAAGGGCTGGGCTTCTGAGGGTGTTGTATACAGACTTCGTCACCCAGATCCCCCTTGGCCAGGCCGCTGTCCAGGCCTGCCTGCTCTGCACCTCTCACAGCCGTGTCCTCTCTCCTCCCTTTCCAGTTCTGGGACGGGTGCTGGAGGTGACAGATCTCCCGGAGGGCATCACCCGTACCGAGGCAGACAAACTCTTCACTCAGCTTGCCATGTCCGGTGCCAAGATCCAGTGGCTCAAGGATGCTCAGGGGCTGCCTGGTGGGGGCGGTGGGGACAACGGTGGGACTGCTGAGAACGGCCGCCACTCGGACCTCGCTGCCTTGTACACCATTGTGGCTGTGTTCCCCAGCCCCTTGGCTGCTCAGAATGCCTCCCTTCGCCTCAACAACTCCGTGAGTCGCTTCAAACTTCGAGTGGCCAAAAAGAACTATGACCTGAGGATCCTGGAGCGAGCCAGCTCCCAATAAATGGACAAGAGAAGGGACCAGCATGGCAGGGGTGGGGGCAGGGTGGAGGGGGTCAAGAGGTCCTGTCAGACCACAGACAGAGGCAGAGAGTAAGATAAGGTCCACAGACAGACACTAAACTGGAGCCTAAGACCGTGGGGATGCAGATGGAGACAGACAGACACTCACGCTGGCACTGGACTTTCTCACTCCCCTGCCAAGGGTCCCTCCATTTCCCTGGTTGGCCCATGTCCACTTCCCTCTCTTTCCCATCCTCTTCTATCATTTTTTATCTCTTCTCTCACCATGAAATTAATTCATATTTTTTGGTCAGGTAGAATTGGGAGGGTCCCACACTCCCCCGTTCTCCTATTTCCTTACCATCCTAAGCGCCCTTTTCTTTTTTGGTCTTTATGAATATATTTATATGGACAGAATTAAGAAAAACAAAATTGATTTCCCCTTTCTCTCACCCCATCTTGTCCCTCCAAACCCCACAGAGTTTAAACTTGGGCCTCCTTCCACCCCCCCCAGAACACTTGTATATTGTTTGTTTGAGGTTTGTGCTGCAGTAACAGACACAGTATTTAATTGCACATACAGATGTTTGCTGGGTATATTCACTGTAAATTTTATTTAATCTGATTTTTTGTTTGTTGGGGGGTTCTTTGGGGGGAGGTTGATTTTGTTTTTAAATATAAAAAAAAAATCTGTCACTGGACCTCAGTCCCTGTTTTCTCTTGCCACCCTGGTGTGGGTGGGGGCTGCACGGGCTTGGTGTGGGCTGGATGGCTTTCTCTGGCATATGCACGCGTATCTGCCTGACACAGCTCCCTGCGTCCCATCCTCCTCACAAGTGGTTCTGAAAGATGGCTGGGTCTCCGACAGGACTCTGCCACGAACTGTGGTTTATCAAGCACATCACTCTAGACACTGGACCTCTGAGTTCTTACCAGTAAAATAAGAGACTTGGACTAACTAGGTGACCTCCAGGTTCCTTCCACCCTGTTAATTCTGTGATATTCATTTAGGGTTCTGGTAGCTAAGCCAAAGGGGTGTGAGTGAGGTCACAGCTGGGTCAAGATGCTGGCCTCATACCTGTCCATCTCATCTTCTGAAAACTCTTCAGGGATGGAGGACTTGGGCCTTTCTTTAACTCCAAAGCCAGAGGGCTGGGTTCTCCCTGATAGGAACAGGATTGCATGTTTCTTAAAATAAAAGCTGTCTCAGCTGAACGTGCGGTGCCAAGATGTCACACTGCCCAGGTGGGCTCAGCAGTCCCTGGCCTGTGCAACTGAAGGAAGGTGAACAGAAGTCACGTGCCCGTGAGATGGAGCTCTCCCCTGTCTTCACAAAGCTGACCCTGTTGTTCAGCCAGTCAGACCAGGGCCGTGAAAGAGCCTGTTGGCCCAGAACCATCCAGCAGACCCTTCTCAGTGTCACCCTCCCCTTAAAGAAAGAAAAAAGCGCAGTAGGTAGAAATGACATAGCACACTGCCGTGGAAATCCCTGGGGTCTGGAAAGCAGTGTCTTTCTAGCCAGCCTCCTCTGAAGTTAGTCTGACCCAACCTCTAACATAATCCTTTACTTCTTGCAGATACACAGGATAAAGCAACACAACATTACCGTCTCCAAATTACTCTCCTCTGAGACGGGAGTATCTCCTTTTTCAACCATGTCATAGCTCAGACTAGGAAAAGGCTGCATCCCTGTGAGATAAGACTGCCAGAGATCTCTTTGACCCCTTGGTTCATATGCCAGGGCAGCAGCGGAAGGAGATGGAATCAGGGAATCAGAATGATGAAGGAAGCGTGAGGCTTGGGCATCCTACCTCCAAGAGCTTGCAGATGGGAAAGGGGCACATCACTTACAGATAACAAAGACTCCCTGTGTGACAGCTGTTGCTTTCTGTCCAACATTAACAGAACAGTGTCTATGTGATCATTAGACCTCACTCCCCCAGAATCTCTCAAATGGGAGTCCCAGCCTGGCTTTTTAAAATAGCTTTTAGAATTCCTTTCACGCCGAGGACAAGATTTTAGGGGAATAGGGGACAGGTATCTCTGAGGCCGACTGGAGGGAACAGAGCAGTACCACATGCTCTCCACTCCCTCACAGAAGAGCCGCAAGCTGCTCCTCCAGCCTCCCGTGGGTGGAAAAGCAATCAGCTAATTTTGAGGAGTTCTGAAAATTCAAATTTTCCTTTCCTCACCAGTTTCCAAGCCCTTTGCTTCCTAAAGATTGGAGGCTAGAGGGTCTATGCTTGAGGGCATAAAAACACGTGGCCACAAGAAGACAGTGGCTGAGAGGCCGAAAGCTAGATTCCAGAGACAGTAGAACTGGGGAGGTGTTTGGACCTTGGGATAAGGGGATGAAGAAGGCTGTTTATAATTCATCTTTAGTTATTTACAGTCACCCTCATGAGGGAATTCCTTGGCAGTCCAGTGGTTAGGTCTCTGAGCTTTCACTGGGCCCAGGTTCGATTCCTAGTCAGGGAACTAAAATCCCAGAAGCTATATTGAGCAACCAAAAAAAAAAACAACTCATGCACATGAGTATGCAATATGGACACTGTGCCTTCCTGAATTTAGCCAGTTCTGACCTGCACACCATAGATGAAAAACTAGGCAACAGCGCTCGGGGGCGGGGAGGAGTTAGGGTCCAGCCCGCCCCGTGTCCGATTTCTCCGTGTCAGCTGTCGGTCAGCTGTCCACTTTCCTCTAGCCCTGTCATTTCAGCTCTGACACCAAGGCAAGAGGCTAGGAAGTCTACAAACACCGTCTGGGTAGCCGGTGTGAGTACAGAGGGTACTGGGGGGGCTTAGCCCCCAAGGAAGACGACCAGTCCTCCCCCAGCACCACCATCAAGACCACAGGGGCTCCCTCTCTCCTCCGCAGGCTGTGAGCTGACTTAGGGAATCCCGAACGTAAGTTGCCTCTTCATCCTCTTTCCACTTCCAGGACTGCTCACCCAAGCCTCCCCAATCCATAGTCTGTTCAGCCTCTTCATTTCTCTCCTTGTTTGTGAGTAGTTTGGGTTTTAGGAGTGAATTTATTATGCTACTCCAGGACAAGAGCTAGGATTGGAGGGTGGGGTAGGGGTGGGACCAGGAGAATAGAGCAGTAAGGGAAGGAAAGGCTCGTATTACTCGGAAAACTTAAAATAGCTGAAGCCTAAGGCAGGCTGGGAACTAGGCACTGGGCTCACAGGAGCTAGAGGAGACGGTCCTCGGCCCATCCTCTGTGCAGGCTGTGGACGCACGTTAAACCTCTTGGAAGAGCATCTAGGAAGGTGTGCGTCACATTTCTGTTGCCCCAGGTTTCCAAGAGAAACAGAGTTATCTGTAGGAAAATCCCTAAACCATGCAGCCTTGTGCAAGTGTTGGGGCTGTGAACTTGGGTTGTTCCTCAGGGCAGAAGGACACTGACTGGTTTGAGGAGCTAGTTGGGAAGTTCTTTAGTCTGCTGGGCTTTAACCCTGCTCATAAACCCTGTGAAAGGATCTCTTTTTAACCAAATTTCTCACAAAGCCTCCCTTTCAAGGACCACCCTACCACGAGGGACAGGAATAAGGGAGGGAAGACTGGCAGCTGGGGATGAGATTTCACGGTGGGCCCAACCTCTTGCAGGATGACAGAAAAGGAGGTGCTGGAGTCCTCCTCTTTTCCATCAGAGGCTCGGAAGGGTGGGGTGAGTCTGGGCCTCTGACCACTGGGTGTGGGGAGCTGGGGAGCCCCTGCAGCTCTTGAAGAAAAGTGCTTGAATTGATCTCACTTGTATAAGTTAAAACCTCACTTACTGTTAAAATGCTCGACAACACCCGCAGCCCCCATAGCTCCTAATCCTGGAGTGTGGCCCTGTCCCAGGTAGAAAAATGTATGCTAGCCTCAGCCTTACCTGCTCTAGAAGCAAGACAGTTCTTTCAACACTGGCTCTCCCTCCCTCAGCTACAGCGGCTGAAACAGTTGTTCAGGAAGCAGTCTTCAGGGACAAAGGAGATGGAGCTCCCCCCAGAGCCCCAGGCCAACGGGGAGGCGGTGGGAGCTGGAGGTGGGCCCATCTACTACATCTACGAGGAGGAGGAGCAGGAGCAGGAGGAGGAGCAGCCGCCGCCCCCGGAGCCGCCTCAGCGTGTCAATGACCGGCCTCACAAATTCAGAGACCATTTCTTCAAGAAGCCCAAGTTCTGTGACGTCTGTGCCCGGATGATCGTGCGTGAGTCACGAAGGGAAGGGGAGAGTGTGCTGGTGAAGGCAGGGGTTGGGGAAAGGGTTTAGGAGAAAAGCATTTGTCTTACCAGACAGGCTGTGGCAAGATCTGGCTCTAAGAAAGTACTTACAGACAGTGTTGGCTCCCAGACAGAAAAGGGGCCTGCGAGCTGGAGTGGCAGCAGCTGTTCAAAGGCAGGGGCGGGGGGGCAGATCAGGAACCTCACCCGATCTTCTCTCCATCTCCCAAGTCAACAACAAATTTGGGCTTCGCTGTAAGAACTGCAAAACCAACATCCACGAACACTGTCAGTCCTATGTGGAGATGCAGAGATGCTTCGGCAAGATCGTGAGTAGGCTCTGGGGAGCAAGAGAGTAGAAGGGAGGGGACACATGGCCAGCTTCCTTCTCTGCCAGTTCCTCCTTGAGTCATCCCACCCATTGCCCTGCTTTTCCTTCCTCAGCCCATCTCCCACTCCAAGAAGGGGCAGACACTCGGGGGAGAGACGGGGTTCCGGGCCCTGCCTTACACCTCTAATGCCGTCTCCTGTCCAATCCTACAGCCCCCTGGTTTCCACCGGGCCTATAGCTCTCCACTCTACAGCAACCAGCAGTACGCTTGTGTCAGAGACCGCTGTAAGTGAACCTGAGGGATGGGAAAGCCTGGAGGTGGTTTCAGCACCTTCTCCAGATCTGGAAGCCAAATTCTGAAACAGATTCTATTTCCCATCATTTTCACTCAATCTAGTATTTCAGCCATCTTGGATACAAAGTCAGTATCCCCATGTTTGATGGCTGGGGGAGGTCAGATTTAGCTCTATACGGTAAGGAAGAGATAGAACCAAGACCGAAACTTTCATCTGCCTGACTTCAAACTCTGCTCTTTCTATGCAAAACCATTTGTAACCATGAACTACACTCTCCCCATCTCCGTATTAAAAAATAATGCCAGACTCACGGCCAGATCAAGAGCTGGGGGCATCCTGGGAAGATTCATAATTTGGCACCCCTTAAAAATGTATTCATTGATAATTTGCTCAACCTTTATCTGGAGAAGAGGCTGAACTCTCTGCGAAGGAGCATGGATGGAAAAAAAGAAGAACCCACTGCTGGTAGTATCCCAGCTTGCACATGCCACTTAGAGGAACAAAAGCCAACAGTTACACAAAGGACCCACTCTCCTTGAAAAGAGTGACCATTCCCCAGCTCCCAAGCAACTTATTAGTAGAGTTGTCTTTCTAACAGCATATAATGCTCAGCCTGGAAGGAGTGCTGGTAAATATTTTTCTCCATCATATTTCCAGTGATGTCTTTGGAGCTCTTTATACATTGATGACCTAGGTATACCCAGCTGACACTTCTCTAATGCTAAACACACACACTCGGCTATCTATCACTCAGTCCATCTCTCCCTTACTTAGGTGCTCTCTCTTTCCTCCAAGTCTTTTTCTGCCTCCCCACTAATATCTCTTTTCTTCTCCCATTCCAACTAGCTTCTGCCAATCGCAATGACCCTGTGTTTGAAACTCTTCGCACTGGGGTGATCATGGCGAACAAAGAACGGAAAAAGGGACAGGCAGATAAGAAAAATGTGAGCACCCAATCTTCCCACTGAGATCCGTTCCAGAGACCCCAGTGAGCAGGTCCTGTCTCCTCTATGGAAAGCTGACAAAAGTAGGGATCCCTTTTCCATAAAACTGCACATAACCCAACAGACAAATTTCTGTGTGAAACTTTAAAGGGCCTCAGTTTAGCATCTCCTTATAGCATGTGTTTACTCTAGGAACTCCCTTCTGAACTTGTCAGATTAACCACCATAACTCAACTAAAGGCTAGGACCTAGGCCTCTGGCATAGCCAGGCAACAGAAGCGATTGATGCTTTTGGATTTGGGAAGGCGAACTTGTCATGCCATTCTAGAACCCCACAAGGGCCCATGAAGACAATCTGTTCTGACTCATCTATCCTAAAGATGAGGAAACTGAGACACAAAGCTTGTGGCCAAGAGCACCTTCATTTCCTAGATTGGTAATACAATAGACTTGTATTCAGCTCGGCAAGGGATTTGTTAGCATATCCTTATATCTTTCTGGACAACAAGGATGGACTAATGTAGATAATGATCACAGTTAGATGGATTTGTAAAATTAGTTGAATGAGAGCACCCAAAGCATCCTGGTCCTTTAGGGAGTTTGTAGCTATCGGGAGGTTTCTGATGCTTTTTGACATGTTTTAATCCTTGGTTCTCACCTATGGACATTTTTCTCACTGCTACAAATGAAGATATAAATGGTATGTCCCATTAAGTTTGTAGGAAACCTATGAGGGAAAACTTATACACTGAATAATATATTCAAAAATGTTACAGACTAGAAAGAAAGACCAAGAACTAATAATCCAAAATTTTTATAAGGAAAAAAATACCTGACTGTTCTTGAATCAAAAAAAAAAAAAAAATCAACTGCAAAAAAACACAACTAGAAATCTGGCCTCAAAGTAGTTGATATGGAGGTTGGGTGCAAATAAGGGATTTCTGTGGAGTGAGCCATGACTTCTAAGGCACTATCAATGTGATCTGACGGCTTCCAGAGAGGCCAGCCCACTCAGGTTCTATTGTCTTAAAGGAATTACAAAAATTGTGCTGCCTGTTTTTCTCTTACACACTGTAATATTTTGAAAAGCAGACATTACGTAAAAGACGTGGATTTTTGCAAGGTAGTGAGCTTCCTCTCACCTACACTTAAGCACAATTTAGGTGGTAACCTAGCAGGATGTTTCAGAGCAAGTCCGTGCAGTAGGCAGGTGGTTGGCTAGATACTTCTTCCAAGGCTCCTTCCAAACCTGAGATCCTCTTCTGTAGTTCTCTGGACTGACTTGACAGCCAGGGCAACGTGGGTTTTTGGGACAGCAGCTCCCTAATACTGGTACCCTCTCCAGTCCCTAGCGGCCATGATGGAAGAGGAGCCAGAGTCTGCCAGACCAGAGCAAGGCAAACCCCAGGATGGTGAGTGACAGCCACCTCCGTCCTGTGGATGGAGGAGGGTTGGGGCTCAGTCGTGGCCCCAGGGCACGCCAGGTTTGGCGATAAGAGGCCCTGGAACAGAAAGGTAAGGGGCTGAGGGCTACCGTCCAAAAGCAGAGACAACTTGTCGGCGTTTCCCATTCTAGGAAACCCTGAGGGGGATAAGAAAGTGGAAAAGAAGACGCCTGATGACAAAGTGAGAATCTTCTCTCCCTAAGGGGACCGCGGTCCTCTCCCCAGCCCAGGTCTGACAGCACTCACGCGTATCCCATGGGTTCCAGCCCTTCTTCACCCTGCCTTCTTCACCACCTTACCCATACACACGGCCAACACATTCCTCTCAGTTCAGGGACTCAGGAGAGAGGTGGAATGTAGTGTGTCTGGCAGACGTCCCTGCCTTGGCCGCCTGCGCCTCGGTGCGGGACAGAGGAGCCCTGAGACTCTTCACCCCCTTTCGCCCTCAGCACAAGCAGCCTGGCTTCCAGCAGTCTCATTACTTTGTGGCCCTCTATCGATTCAAAGCCCTGGAGAAGGATGACCTGGATTTCCCGTGAGAGGCCTTGGGATTGGGGTGGGCGTGTCCTGGGAGTGGAGAGGGGAGAGCCCGGTGCCCTGTGGGAAAGGAGAGGGGGACTCGGGGCGTGGAGCACAGCCCAGAGACCGAGTGTGTAAGGTCCCTAAATCCCAGAGGCCCCCCTCCTGTTCAAGGCCTGGAGAGAAGATCACAGTCATCGATGACTCCAATGAGGAGTGGTGGCGGGTAAGAGAGCAGACGGCTGAGGCTCAGCTGGGATGGGGGTTGAGCTCAGAGCCTGAGACTGTGAAGTGAATTCTTCCTACCATCTCCTCTAGGGGAAGATAGGGGAGAAGGTCGGATTCTTCCCTCCAAACTTCATCATTCGGGTCCGGGCTGGAGAGCGTGTGCACCGCGTAACAAGATCCTTCGTGGGGAACCGCGAGATAGGGCAGATCACACTCAAGAAGGACCAGGTAGCTCTGGCGCCCCCACTCAAAACCAGGCCCAGAGGCTCACTCCTTGCAGATCATAAGTCATTCGTGGGACTAGACTGGGCCTCCGTGGCTCTGGGCTCCCTTGCTCAGCTCTTGCATTTTCTCCCGACTTCTCTTCTCCCCCGTCCTTTAATCCTTTAGATTGTGGTGCAGAAAGGCGATGAAGCCGGCGGCTACGTCAAGGTCTACACCGGCCGCAAGGTGGGGCTGTTCCCCACCGACTTTCTGGAGGAGATTTAGGCGTGCGGACGCCTGCCAGTGGGAGATACCCAGACCCCCTTCTGGGCAGGCCCAGTGGAGGTTGGGGAGAAAAGGGGCGAAAGCAACTACAAGGCTGGGTTGGGGAGGGCTGGGAAGGCCACCGAAACGTGACGGGGCTTCCGGGAAGGGACTGGTTCCCGTCCCCCTCCCCCGCCGAGGGCGTCGGACTCCTGGTGCCTGGAGCAGCCTCACTCGCAACCCTCAGGCCCAGCCTTTTTTTCCAAGTCGGGAGGGGGTGGGGGCAGAAAGAATGGGTCTCTACTAGGGAGACGGGAGGGGTGGGGGGTTGGGACGCACCATAGAATATTGCGAATTTATTAAAGTTTTGACAAAAGTTAAGAAAAGCTTGCTGTTTAACTGGGGGCCGAGGGGAGAGGGAGCAGAAGGCCTCCGAAGGGGTGGAGAATCTTCCCCAGCACTCTCCCCTCACTCCCATCGAGTAACCCGAGACCCACCTGGGCTGAGGCTGGCGCGAGGCGGGGAGATAGACGCGTCCGCTCGGCAAGGTCTCTGCGTCAGTGAAGAAAGACGGGCGGACTGAGGCCACTGTCCCCGCGCCCCGGCCGCTGGGAGCAGGACCCAGTAGCAAGCTGGCTCCCCAGAGCCCTCAGCGATTTCGCCGCGGGCAGCCCCTTGCCGTTTTCGACCCTGGCTCAGTTCCGAGCTAGGCCGCCAGGGGGCGATGCAAGATCTCGGTTGAAGTGCGAGGGCGGGGGTGGGGGGAGAGGAGAGAACTGGAGACTCCGAGCTCGAGCTCGAGACCCTCGGCCTGGGAGGGGGTGGGGTGCGTGCCGTCTCCATGGCAACACTTACTCAAATCCTCCGGGAACTGAGCTGGCGAGACCGGGGGGCCTAACCCCTCCCGCGCGGCCCCCGCCCCAGCCCTTAGCGACAGGTAGCGAGAGAGAGGGCGCGGGGCCGACAGCTAACCGGCTCGCGCGGAGCCGCCCCGGCGGTGTGCCGTATGCAAATGTTATCGTTTGCATATGTAAATATGCAAGTGTGCCGGCCCCGGTCACGGTGGCAGGTGGCCGGGAGCCGGAAGGTGTGGGAAAGGGAGCTGAAGGAGACCAGGAGTTTAGGGGCCTGGGAGCGGAACGGAGAGCGAGGCAAGCCGGGGCGGGCGGTCCGGGGAATGAGGCCGGCAGAGGGTCTTGAGCTTGATGGCGAGTGGGGGAGGGTCACCCTGGCCAGCCAAGAGAGCCTCTTCTCGTCTGCTTGTTGTCTGCCAGGCCTGAGGTTGGCACCGCCTAGCAAGGTTGGCAGCGGGAGCCCGGGCACCATCTGCTGCTGGAAGCGGGGGAGGGCAGAGGCTCAGCTGGGCTGGGGAAGAGGAGGGCCCAGGACGGGAGCGCCCCCCTTCCATCCAGAAGGCTGAGGTGCGCTGGGGGTAGGGAAGCACACGAGAAGACTCGCCTCAGAACCTCGTTCGGCTCCCTGTTTCCTTTGCCCTTGATTGTCCGGGACGCCTCAGGGCGGCGGCGGGGTCATAATGAAGAGTCAGGCAGCCCCTTTGAACCGCACTTGGGCTGGAACGGGAGCAGATCACAGGCCCTCTCCACCGCTGCAAACAGATCAAACATTTTGCCCCCATCCCTCCCCAGGATCCACCTACCACCAAACGGCGGAGGGAGCAGGGACTTCTAGGGCTTGGGTCGCAACTCTTCATCAAGTGGTCTAAGGGACTCAAAACCAGAGCTCCCCAAGATCCTCGAGAGCCCCCCCCCCCAATGCTGAAGCAAAACCAATTTACTGGCTCATTGGGCGGCAGTGCTGGTGTGGGGGTACCGAGAAGCTGAGAGAGCTGCTGTTCTCTCCCCCTACACTCGGGGGGGGCACCCTCTTCCCCCTCCTCCCAGAGCCGGCAGCTGTCCCTAATTAGAGCGGCGGTTTAATTGGATTTATCAGCAGTTAATAGGAAATTAAGCAAAAGGCCCGAGAGAGGGAGGGCGGGAGGAGCGGGAAGGCTGGCTGTGCCGCGCTCGAGGACAGGGTGCTGGGCTATCAGGGGTGGGGACACAAGGCCCATTTATAGCAGTTGAGCCCCTTGGGCACACCCTCCCCGCAGTACTTGCCCCGCCCATTGAGCCCTGGCCCGTGGGCAGAGAGCAGTCTCCAGAGATGGAGGCGGGAGGGACAGCGACCCTGTGTGTGCCCCCAGAGCCCCTCAGTCCCACTAGCAGCCGCCTGGGTGATGGATGATGCTGCCTCAGGCTGCAAAGGTCATAAGTCTGGGCCAAGGAGCTGACTGAATTGAAAGCAGACGGAAGGAGGGGTCGGGTAAGGAGGGTCCAGGATAACCAACCTCCTACCCCTCCCCAGGGCCCCCTGGCTCTGAGCAAGAGAAGTGCCCCTTGAAGTGAGAAGATTGGGCAGCACCAGGTGTGAGCCTGCCTCCTGGCCGTGTTGGGGATCGTGGCAGTCTCCCCTGTGCAGCCTCCGGTACCCCTCTATGGCTCTCCTGCCTCTCCCTCAGCTTTGGGGGTTGAAGCCAGCAGGGTTGGCTGTAGCCAGAGAGGCCTAAGGCCCACACCATTGGCTCTGGGGTCCAAGAAGGGAAGTCTGTAGGCAGTTAAGCAGTGGCTCAGTGCCCATAGCCCAGGCATCTCCTGTCATCAGAGCCTCATTGCATGGCTGGACGAAGAAGGCCTTCTTCGGGGGTCCCAGTGACCTCTGCCACCCTTCACCACCGCAGGGCAGAGGCAGCAGCGTCAGCGTGGGTGGGCGCGAGACTCTGGGTGTGTGAGGGGTGCCTCTGTGGCCCTGCTGTGCCCTATGTCGGCCCTGGAGGTGTGAGGCGTGTCCATCGGGGTCCCGGGTGTGTGTGTGTGTGTTGGTGTGTGTGCCCCGGGAACTCGTGCCCCTGGTGCGTGTCTGTTCCACCGTGTGTCTTGTCTCTGTTCTGCTCCACCGCCCCACCCTTTGAGGTTTTTGGCTGTCCTAGTCCCTGGGTGTCAGATGGGCAGATGTGCTTTGATGTGTCTACGTGTCTGTGCATTCTTCACGCCTGCGTGTGCCCCGCGTGTGGGCATCTCCGTGCGCCTCTGCCTGCAGGACCGTGTGATGTGAGAGCCAGGAAAAGCCTCTGGTGAGTGTGTTGCTCTGGCGTCTCTGCCTGCAGGTGTGTGTCGGTGACAGTGCGTGGGCGTGTGCCTGGGTGTGAGCCGCGCGGCGGCGTGTATTCGAATGACAGTGTGACGCATGCACGCTCGTGTGTGTGTGTGTGAGTGTGTGTGCGAGCGCACGCGTGTGCGCTCGCCAGGGTGAGTCTTCCACCCCCGCCCCTACCTCTCCCCATTTCTATTCCTCTCTCCTCTCCGGGCGGGCTTGGCTCCGCCGTCCGCATCATCTCCATCCATTATTGAAGAAACAGCCGCGTCCGCTCCAATCACATCAACACCCCCCGCCCCCCTCCATTCCGCTCGCCCCGCGGCCCCTCTGGGTGCTGGGGAGTGGGGGAGCCGCAGCGCGGCGGGGCTGCAGACGCAGCTCCTGCGAGCTCATGACCCTGTGCCCAGAGCCGGGCCAGGCACCGGGACGCCGGGGTCCCCAGCGGAAAGCGCTTTGCATAAACAGATGGCGCGGGCGCCTTTGTCTAGATGGTTCGCTCGCTATGAGGCTCCGGGCTCCGCGGCTGTCTGGCTGATGCAGCCATGATCATCTCAGAGCCTCGGGACCCGGCGCCCTTAATAGCGGGCAGAGGGGGGTTAGGGGCCCCGGGGCTCCCGAGCAGATGCCGGGCACTGTGTCTTCCCTCGCTAGCGCCCCCTCCACGCCCCACTGCTGCAGAGGGAAAGCGGAGTCTGCGCCAAGGTGACGGGCGCGTGGAGGTGACCGGGAAGGGGACCCCGGGCAGAGCCCCGAGGTGCCGCGGGCTGTCCCCTTGGACCGCTGCAGACCCCCAGGGGCAGCAAGCCAGAGAATAGGAATAGAACCAGGGGATGGGAGGGGGGAGAAAGAGTGACAGGGAGGGAGGCATTTATAGAGAGAGACACGGCGAGGTAGATGCAGAGGAAAGGAGAAGCAACCGCAGGGGGACAAAGGCAGGTAGAGAGCTGCGGAGGGAGAGACAGAATGGGAAGGCAGACAGAGACAGTGATAAGGCCTGGAGAAGAGGCAGAGATCCCACTAGGGCAGGTAGGGTCAGAGGGCAGAGAAGAGTCTCGGCGCTGAGACAGAGCCCTGGGCACCTGGGGCCGCCCAGCCCCGCAAGAGGAGCCAGCCTGGACCTGGGATGCCCGCAGCTGGCGAAGTGGGAGCTTCTGAGTCCCCTCTCCTTCCCTCCCCTCGGCCCCTCCTCACAACAGATGAGTGGAAGTTGCTGGACTCACTGCCCTGGCGGCGGGAGTGGCGAGAGCGGCCGGCGGGCGGCACCCACACTCCTGGCAGAGACTTCCCTGCTCGAAAGCCGCGAGGCGCAGGGCCGCTGAGGCCCGATAGGGGGCGCCCGAGGCACCGCCCCTAAGAGTTTGCGAGCACCTCCGCCTCCAGGGGGCGCCCGCGCGCTTGGCCCCGCGGCCTGCTCGCTCCCGCGAGCCCAGCTGCTTTTGAAGTTCAGTTGCACCAGAGCGCGGATTAGTGTCCTGTGTGGGTCAGCTTTGAGACGGGTCCCAGAGGGACCCCCGACCGCCCCTGGCCACGCCTAATCCCCGGCTAATGACTGCTGTCTGCTCGGTCAGCGTAGCCTGAGTCCTTCTGGTGGGAAGAAATGAGATCTGGAACTCAAGGAGTTCTGGGTCTCAGTTCGGCCCCAGGGACGAAGATCCCGAGACGGGAGGAGCCTTTAGAAACAGGGTCACCGACAAGGGGCCGGAGACAAGTGCCAGAAGCAGACGAAGGGTCGAGGAGTCCCGGAGAGGCAGAGGCAATAACGCAGTAAGAAACTTGAAAAGCAAGGGCGGAGGCCCAGGGCAGGAGGATCACCGGGGCTGCCAGGAAAACAGCCGGGCGGAGGGCCCGCAATGCGCAAGGCGCGGATCACTGGGTCTCAGAGAAAGGGCCCCGCAAGGAAGGTGAGCGCCCAAGAAACAAAGGGGCGCGGCCCCGGAGCCAGACGTCCCTATCGCTCCAGCTGCGCCGCAAGAGTCAGACGTGCCGCCCAGCTGTGCGTCCCCTCGAGTTCGAGCTCCAGGACTGAATTCTAGCCCCAGAGACTGGAGGGCTCCGGGGCAGGGGTGACAGGACAGCCCAGCCCCTGACGCGGCCCTGGAAGTGCAGGTGCTCGGGGCCAGGCTCTGAGCGCGCCAGGCTCCGACAGCCCGTCAGGCCCCCGCCCCGCCCCCACAGACGCAAGCGCCGAGTCTCTGTCTCTTTGTGCTCGCCCTGTCTCTGACACTTTATCTCATTATCCGCCGGAGGGAGGCGGAGAGCTCGGGACCCCGCAGCCTAATTACAGCCGCGCTTGTCAGCGCGGGAGGTGGGGGAGGCATCAGGCGTGGGAGGGGAAAGCAGGGGGCCCTCAGGCTCCCCTCCCTCTCGGCGCTCTGCGAGGCACAGCAGCGGGGGCACGGCTCGCCCCTGCCTGGGCACCACGAGGCTTTGGAGGGGAGAAGTGGGAGCGCTCTGAAGGAATCGGCCGCCAGGACAGCAGCAGGGGAAGGGGGGGGGTTAGCGTGGAATGGGGAGAGGTGGTTAGGGCTCAGCGCTTGCAGCGCTCCCGAGAACCCCAGTTCCCCAAAGGCAGCGGCAGAGATAGCATAGCGTCTCACCTGATGGCACAGCACACACCCGAGTTGATCATCCAGAGGGATGCAAGCACTCCAGCTTCTGTCTCTATATGTTCTCTTTCCTCTTCAGCATCTTTTCTCTCTTTCTTCCAGTTTCCTGCACTCCATTCTCTTTCTCTCCATCACAGTCAGTCAGAGGCAGAAGTGGTCTCCTGGAATGGACACCCGAGGTAGGTAGAGGAAGGAAGTCTCTTAACCCCCAGATTTACCCGCCTGATCTGCTCTATGCCGAGCCAGGTTTGAGATAATGCCCAGCTCCCCTGGCCTCCACACTCTTCCAGGCTAACCATGACGCAAATTGGAGAAGCCCCCCGGGACTCGAGCGGCTGGGGTCTGTCTGTCCCCCCACTTCCCCCTGTTCTTGGAGGGAGGTGGCCCTGCTAGCTCCTGGGTGGCTCTAGGGGTGTCAGGGAAGCATTACAGAGGCCCTCTCATGTCCCTGACCCCATCCCCCCACCCCCTCCACCACCCCCTGCGAACACCCCCGCAGCTGCACTTTACTGGGGTCCGTCTGCCTGTCCTGTGCTGACTCCCTCCTCCCACTTCAGGGTCCCCCTCAGTCGGGCTCTGTTAGAGTCTGGGAGGCCTCTCCCTTGGACCAGCCCAAAGCATGATAATGTCTCCTGGTCCAGGGTCGGACCCCTTGGAGTGGAGAGTGGATGAGCAGAAATCCCCCTGCTCCCCAACAGTTCTCTTCCTGGCTGATCCTGGAACTGCAATAAGGAGAGAGATGGGGGTTGGGGTGAGTCTGATGAAGTTGCCGGGGCTGGGCCAGGCTGGGCTGGGCTGGGCTGACCCCTCCCCAGAGAGGGGCGGGACCCCAGGAGGAGCAAGGGCTCTGGGCCGCTGGAGAGGAGCAGACACTGGAGAGGCGCTATGGCGGGAACCAGCCTCGGAGCCCGCTTCTACCGGCAGATCAAGAGACATCCCGGGGTAAGTTTGGTCCCAGGAGCCATGATTCTACCTTCTAACTCTCTAGATGCCCTGGCAGCCCCGAAATCTCCCCGTACCCTGCCTATTGCCAAGTTCCCCCAAAGCTCCTAGTATTTCTCTGCAGTGCCCTCAATCCATCCCTACAATATGTCCCCGTGTCCCTTGAATCCACCTCCAACACGTTAGCTATAGGTTGAGGGAGACCACAGCAGGACATGTGGTGGGAGGCTGCAGGTCCTCTCTCCCCAAAGGGAGGGAGCGCCAGACCTGGGATGGGGTGAGGTGGGTGTTGGCCGAACAGAAAAGCCTGTAAAAGGCGATCGATCGGGAGTGGCTGTTCCTGAAAGAAAGTTCTTTCTGTCTTCCCGCAGCTCATCCCCATGATCGGCTTCATCGGCCTGGGCATGGGCAGCGCTGCGCTCTACTTGCTGCGACTTGCCCTGCGCAGCCCCGACGTCTGGTAAAGGCCGGGCTTGGGGGAAGGGGTCCTGGGTGCGGCAAGATGGGACAGGAATGCACGGGTCCCTCAGGAATGATGGGAATGATGGTCTTCGCGGGGACTCCCGGGCAGGTGACATCTCGGGACTGGAGCCTGCTCCTGACCTGGGAGGCCCCCCGCCTCCTCTCGGGCCCACACTCAGTAGCTTTGGGCTGAGATTCTGCCGGCTTTGGGCTGCGGAACTAGCACCGCTCCCGGCCGCGTTACCATGACGACGCCGCTCTGCCGGCCGCTGGCGGCCTTTGGGTACCTCTATCTCGCTGCCCAAGCGCTGGGGGTGTGGCCGGGTGAGCTGCTGGGGTCGCCTTTGGAACCAGGGGGAGCGCGGAGACTCCAAGCCGCGCCAGAGGCGGCGGGAATGGAGGGTCTGCCAGCAGGCAGGAGCACCCATAGCATTGTCTGAATTCGAGGCACATCACTGCAACCCCAGTACCTCGGCATTTCGGGATTTCTACCTGATTCCCACCGCCCAGCTCTGCGGGGCTAGCCTAGGAACAGGCGGGAGTCCTTGGGCCAGGCTGTCAAGTCTGCCACCTGGCCCCACGCTGACAATGGTGACAGCCTTCTTGCCTCACTTGTCAGCGCCCACGAACGTGCCCCCTCCTCTCTCAGTTTCTGGGAAATGCACACTCCCCATCCCCCAGGAGGATGGAGGGTGCTGGAATAGGGGCACAGACCTTGTGGGTCCCCTTAGGCTCCAGAGTCCTAGCTCCAAGAGAGGAAACCCTAACCACCCCACCCCCGGTCTCCACAGCTGGGACCGAAAGAACAACCCGGAGCCCTGGAACCGCCTGAGCCCCAACGACCAATACAAGGTACCTCCCAGTGGCCTTCGGGTTGCACCTCCGTCCGCGGCCTCTTGATCCCAGCTGGGCACCTCCCACCCCAGCAGAGGGAAGCCCGGGGCTCAGTGCGACCCCCTTTCTCCCCACAGTTCCTTGCAGTTTCCACTGACTACAAGAAGCTGAAGAAAGACAGGCCAGACTTCTAAGCCCGGCTGCAGTGCCAGCCGACGGGAACCACCAGCAGCCAGCCTCCTCACTCCTTCCACTCTCCACCCTCCACCCCGAGGCGCCCCGCCAGCCACCCCGTCCAGCTTCTGCTTACAGGCCGGGTTCCCACGAGGAGGGGAGGCAGCCCCACCCCCTCCCTCGCTCCCAGCAGCGGAAGTGCCTCTGACCCTCAGCCTCAGTCCCACGAGGGGGAGGCGCAGTGACAGGGCAGGGAGTAGCCTAACCCCAAAGGCCCAGCCAGCCCCTCTGCCCCGTTACCCTGGCTTCGGAGGGCGGGGTGCACGCTACGTGTGGAGCGTGGCCTACGTGAGAGACAAGACCAGCAGGGGCCTGAGTGCCAAATGACGTGGCGGGCCCCACGTTAGCCCGGGCTACAGGCTCCCAGGCGCCAGCCTGGGGGCGGTGCTACTCTGGCTCGCTGGGCTCGCCCGGGCTCGGCGCTGACAGTCCAGCCAGCGTGGGGTGAGGCACCTGCGCTCAGGAAGGCACAGCTTGCTCCTCCAGGGCCTGCACTGCTTCCCGCTTCCCGCACCAATGGGCACCCCCCCCGCCTCACACCTGGGCCTCCCCAACCCCTCCCCGATGTCCCTTGGTCCCCAGGGATCAAACAGAAGCAGCCGTGGGCAAAATACAATTTCATTTAACAAATTGAATTTGCTGCGCCTGCTAATCACGTCTGGTGTCGCCTCTGATCAGAAGGAGAGGGGGAGGCAGCCTTGGGGGTCCTTGTGGTGGTGGTGGAAAGGAAATGAGGAACACGGTGAGGGAGAGGAATCACCACCTGGCCCGGGGCTCCCCAGGGAACCGGCCCCCAGTCATAGAAGCTCAGGGCAGGTTAGTATTTTATTAGACAAAAACAGAAAGGAGGGATGCCTACACACCCCTTCCTCTGGCTCAGGAGAGGAACTCCCCCCTCCCCAAGAAAGGGCAGAGGGGCTATAATACTGAGATAATGGGAGAGGTTAGGGCAGAAAGCTCCAAGCCTCCTCCTTCTAAGTGTTATTTCAAGAAGAAACCTTCTCAGCTCCACGTTCTGAGAAGGGGAACTACACGTGGCTCTTGCCCTAAGTGGGGGGCCCTTCCCTCCTCCAGCAGAAAACTGGAAGAGGAGTAGTTACCACCCCCTCCCCAGCTTGTCCAGGAAGGGGAAGAGGGAGAAATGTCAGTCCGCGGGCTTCATTTCTTAGGCGCCTTCAGTGATCATCAAAGCCAGGCATGGGGAAGGCCCTGGCGAACTGCTCCACCCGTTGCCTAAGGTCGGCCAGCTGGCGACTTGTTTCTGGGTCTTTGAGCAGGAAAGATTTGAAATCCTGGAGTTTGGCTAGACACGGGTGAGGAAAAAAAGTGGTCAGAGCTTAGAGGAAGGCAGTGAGATCAGCTGGAGGAGGGGGAGATAGTGTAAACTGGCTGGGGGGCGGGGGAGGTCTTGTCCACTCACTGGTCTTGCTCTTCACTTCCAAGCCAATGTTGACACCTTCATCTATAAAGCCTACAACTTTCCGGAAGTCATCTTCACGGAACCCTCGAGAAGTCAGGGCTGGGGCCCCTGCGAGAGAGGCAGGAGAGGATTAGCACTGCCCCAGTCCACCTAGTGGTCACGCCCCCGCCCCCCAGAACCCAGGTCTTACCCAGCCGCAGGCCCCCAGGGGTGATGGCGCTTCGATCTCCAGGACAGGTGTTCTTGTTGGCCGTGATGGATACAAGTTCCAACACCCGTTCGGCTCGAGCTCCGTCCAGGCCCTTTGGCCGCAGGTCTACCAGCACTAGATGGTTGTCAGTGCCGCCTGAGGCGGAGAGAGTGAGCAGGGAGTGGTGAATCCTAGGCCTCTGTCTGGGGCTACAGGGGCTTGCACCTCCCCCTCCCCACCCCTGGCTCACCAGACACTAGGGAGTAGCCCCGCTCCAGCAGGGCGTCAGCCATGGCCCGAGCGTTCTTCAGAATCTGCAGGGAGTACTCCCGGAACATGGGGGTGCAGGCCTGAGGAAGAGGCAGCAGCAGTGTCGCCTTAAGCCCGGCCCCTCCTGCCCCACCACCCCCAGCATACCTGGGACCCATCCCCACGCCCTCCCAGCCTGACACTTCCCTTCCATCAGCTCCAATTTCAGCTAGCAAGGTGCAGGGTCTGAGCCTCCAGGCCCCGCCCACACCCACCCCACAAGAGTAGGCTCCCCAACCTGCTTTAGGGCCACAGCCACTGCAGCAATGGCGTGGTTGTGGGGGCCCCCCTGCAGGGATGGGAACACAGCAAAGTTGATTCGGTCCTCGAATGTGTAAGGGATCTCTCGGCCACTTTTGGGGTCCACAGCCCGCACCCCCTTCCGGTAGAAGATGAGTCCTGCCCTGTGTGGGAGGCAGGCGGTCAGAATCTAAGCTGACAGAAAGAGCACGGGGGTGGGGGGGAGCAGAGGAGACCAGCTGGCCTGGCCCCCCCCGGCTCTCGGAGCCCAGCCCGGTGGTGCTCAGTGCGCTGGACCCCAGGGCTTGAGGGCAGCAGACCTCACCTCCACCCCCAAACCCCCTGCCGGGGAACTGCCACCAGCAGCAAGAAAGGGAGAAGGCTCCTAGACAGGCCTTCTGGTGGGAACAAACTCACATCCAACCCCAAACACGCCCTGGGGTGGGGCATGAAGACAGGGAGAGGCAAGGCCTGACCTCAGGGAAGCCTGACCTGGCCCCTCGAAGGGTCTTGTGAGTGGTCGTGGTGACAATATCCGCGTGCTTGAAGGGTGAGGGGATCACCTTGGCAGCCACCAGGCCACTGATGTGGGCCATGTCTGCCAAGAGGTGTGCCTTGACCTCGTCACACACCTAGGCGAGTACAGAGGAGGACAGGATAGGCCTCAGCCTGGGAGCGCCCAGACAGGCCTGCCCAAGGCCTGCCCCTCCTCCCAAGGCCCCTCACCACCCCTTGGGGAGGGGCAGAGACTCCAGCCCACCACTAACTTCTCTCATGCGGGCATAGTCAATGAGGCGCGCATAGGCACTGGTACCAGCTATGATGAGTCGTGGCCTGAAGAGCCGAGCAGTGAGGGCCAGCTGCTCATAGTCAATGAGGCCAGTCTCGGGCTAGACAGACAGACAAAAAGCTAAAGCTCCAAGAAGGAGGTGGAGCAGCTCGTCACAGCTCCCTCCTCACACCCCAGAGCACTCACGTTCAGCTTATAAGGCATAGACTCGAAGAAGATGGATGTGGCCGAGACTCGCTTGACATCAGACATGTAGCCGTGGGTGAGACTGGGAGGAGAGGAGAGGAGGGGAAGCAGGCAGGTTCAGAGTTCGGGAACTATCCAACTTAGCCGCTGGCTCCCTGCCCTGCTCCAAAGGCCGGGGTCTCTGGAACACTGCTCCTAGCAAGTACTAGCCCTGTGGCTCTGAGCAATACTTATGGGGTCTTATCTTCCTCAACCACTCCTGGACTGGGAGAGCCCTGTTCCATCCGCGTGGAACACGGCAGGTGTTCAATAAATCACTCTTCTCCCATGCCCACCCTGCCCACAAGCCCACCTGCCACCCCAGCCACACTCACTGGCCCCCATCGGGCAAGTCCAGCCCCATGAGTCGGTCGTGAGGCTGCAGAAGGGCTGTGTAGGCGGCCAGGTTGGCTGGGGACCCGGAGTAGGGCTGGGCATTGACTCCCCACTGAGCAGGGTCCAGGTCAAAGGCCTCCAGGGCCCGGCGCTGACACAGCAGCTCGATCTCATCCACTACCTCGGCCCCTCCGTAGTACCTGCGGAGGGAGGGGAGCAGGTCAGGGCACAGAGGGAGGGCTCCACCACCCCCTGGCCCAGCAGCGAAGGGCTGGGAAGGCCATCCTCTGGACACACGGGCCGGCACGGGCGGGTGTCCCCACTGGGAGCGCCATCCCTGAGGCTGCCCTGCAGCCGGGCGGTGCCCGGCCCTCACCTCTTGCCAGGGTAACCCTCCGAGTATTTGTTGTTCAGACAGGACCCCAGCGCCTCCAGCGCAGCTCGGCTGCAGAAGTTCTGGGGTGGGGGAGGGGGCAGAGTCAGAAGGTACCGAGCCCCCTGCCCTGGACCCCACAGCCCCCTCCGGCCAGAGCCCCAGGCTGCAGGGAGGAGCCGGGTTCTACAGAAAGCTCTGTTCATTTAGGGCTCCTTGCCAGGTCAGGGAAACGGCCAGAGCATCCTCCTCAGAAGCCCAGCTGCTAGGACTTCCCTGGTGGTCCAGTGGCCGGGACACCGGGCTCTCAACGCAGGGGCCAGTTCAATCCCTGGTTGGGGAACTGGATCCCACGTGCCGCAGGAATGATCCTGCATGCTGCAACTCAGACCCGGCGCAGCCAAATAAATATTAAAAAAAAAAAAAGAAACCCAGGTGCTGTGATAGGCCGCCTGTCCACGTGCGCCTGTGCTTCCAGGCTTCTGTTTCCTCCTCGGATGGAAGAGGGACCAGACTAAACTACAAGAGCTCCAGGAGGCTCTGGCGGGCTTCCTAAAGCCCCTGCCCATAACCCAGACTGGCCCTGCCTTTGCTTCAGAGATCAGCAGAAGAGACAGACATGAGGCCCATCAGGAAGGCCCTGAGTTTGAAAGGGAGATCTGGAGAAACAGCAGGAAGATGATCTGTTACTTTCAGCTGTGGCCTACGCCCTGGCCCCTCTCACCAGGCCCCACCTCTGAAGCAATGAGCTCCAGGCCGCGACACTGCCTGTCCTTCTCTCTCCGCAGCAGATCCCACATCTCAGGGTCACTGTCTGATAGACTCTCCTGGCCTGACCAGCCCTTGCTTGCTTCTCCGGTCTGAGTCTGGGCAGCCTCACTGTGTTGGCACCGTACGGCCATCCCAACCAGCTGACCACATCTCCGCAGAGGCTAGGGAAAGAAAAACTCGGGTCAAAGAAAAAGTGTCCAGATGAAAGAGTCAACCATCCTGTTATGCTTATCAGGTCCTCAGGCGCCACACTCAGCAGTCAGTTGTAAAGTCAGTCCGTTCAGTTCTCATTAACCCCACCTCCACTTTCAAAAACCAGGTCTAGAGCCAAGATTGAGATCAACATCCAGGGGGTGGTTCTGATTTGATCTATTCAGCTAACCTCAGAATCTCCCTCCACATCTGCCCTTAAAACACTCTGCAAAGCCTCAGGGCAAAGCTTGTCCTCTAGAAGCCTGTGTCTCTGGAACTCCAGGCAGTCCCCACCCACAGAAACACATGGTTTTCCTGCAGAGCCTTCACAAAGTGATATCCGAGTCGGGGGGGCGTGGTGGCGACCAAGCTGGCAAGGATTAGGGCAATAAGCTGTACAGTGGTTTCCAGAGCGATGGAGGTGGGAACATAGACCTTTAGCAGCCTCTGGGGAAGAAGGCCAAAACCTGTATCTTGTCCTTTGTGCTCCCCACTCTTTCCACCTCCTTCCAGCCCAGAGCCGCTGGAACCCTGATGCAAGCAGCGGTGACCAGTTGCATCATTTGCATGGCTCAGATCTGCAAGAAAGACTCAGCTCCCGGTCCAGGCCAAGAACCGTGCTGGCTGGCCAGCACAGGGTCCATGGGGCATTCAGTATGGTTCTCTTCTCTAATGCCACGTCAAACGGGCAGTCACAGGCCTTGGGGCATCTGGTTCCGGGAATGAGAAGGGGCCCCGATCACCCTGCGTGCACCGGGGGTCTCAGGGATCCCCTAGTTGCACATCCGCATTCCCCTCCGCTCTCCCCTCCCCGAGGACCCTGACCACGTGCGTTTAAAAGCCCAGAGAAGCCCAAGTTTGTGAACCGTTAGAACCCCCTAACTGGGATAGGCTGGGAACTGACTTTCTACGGGTCACCCACTCTCTGGAGCCCCATCCTTACCCGAGTCGCCCAAATAAAAGAGAAGGACAACATCGCAACAAGAGATTGAGAGTCGCGCGGGGTCCAGGTGCCAACTCCGGCGGGGGAAAGCAGGGGTCGAAGGCGACTGATCGGAGGGCGCAGGCGCAAAACGAGCTACCGGGAAGCCGCGAGATCTACGCATGCGTAAAGTGGGTCCTTTAGAGTCTTTTGGGAATTGTAGTTTTTCCTCTCTTCAGTTTCGTTTTCCAACTGGAGAAGCTCTGGCCTGAAAGATGAGAGATCCACCGCGGCCCTGTCGCCTCACTGTCCGGAAACTCTTCAGCGTTTTTTTTTTTCTTCCGTCTGTTCACACAACAGCAATTTATTGGGTATCTACCGAGTGAATGTGTTGCGCTTAGTCGCTCAGTCGTGTCCGACTCTTTGCGACCCCTTGAACTGCAGCCCACCAGGCTCCTCTGTCCATGGGGATTCTCCAGGCAAGCATACTGGAATGGGTTGCCATGCCCCCCTCCAGGGGATATTCCCAACCCAGGGATCGAAGCCAGGTCTCCCACACTGCAGGTGGATTCTTTACCATCTGAGCCACCAGGGAACCCCAAGAACAGGGTAGCCTGTCTCTTCTCCAGGGGATCTTCCCGACCCAGGATTCGAACTGGGGTCTCCTGCATTGCCGCAAGATTCTTTACCAGCTGAGCTACCAGGGAAACCAGGCTCACTGGGAAATACAAAGACTCCTGTACAAGCGGGAGAGCCCCCTAGAAAGCACCCTGGATGGGAAGGGGGAGACCAGAGTTCGAGTTCCCACTCTGGGACTAACTAACAAATGAGTGGATTTGAGCCTCAGTTTCCCCACTTGCAAATCAATAATAAAATAACATGTGGTGGGGATTTAACGAGACTGTATGTAAACATGCTGTTGGATGGATCACCCCTTCACCTCATCCTCACAAACCTGCCTCCTCGTGGCCATCTCCTCCTTCTCTGGGACGTGTGGGAGCTGGCTGAGGTGCCCCCTCCTCACTGCACCTGTTGAATTGTTACCAATTCAGTCTGGATGCTCCAGCAATCAGTGAGGTCTCTTTGTACCCTGGGGCTATAGATTCTTGGAGCTGGAAGGGATTTCCTTATAGCCTGACTTCATCTGGACTTGTCCTTTAGGCGAGGGACTCACTGATCCCTCCAGGAGTAGGTTCTCACACCTGGGTATCAGAATTGGTTGTGTGATAGAAATATATGAGTGTTGAGAGTTTCATCAGAGGTTCTAAGTCTTAAAGAGTGGATCTTAAAGAGTGGGCATTTGCCCACTCACACTGACATGCAACAGAACTTCTCTTTAGTGCTTCTATCAGCAGTGATTTTGAGAACCACTGCCTTACTTAGCAAGATTACACATTCACTCAGTCAGTCATTTGGCAAACACACTGAACTCCTTCACCATGCGAGGCATGCCTTAGCCCTGGAGATATCAGAATAGATCACTGACTACCAGAACGTCAAAAGGTGAACAAGTGCAATTACGGGCAGGGGCATCTCACTCTGCTCCCAGGTGTCCAGACATCCTAAGAACAAGGAAAGGAGGAGGAGAGGATGGTGGTGGAGGCAAGTTTGTGAGTCAGAGGGGGAGGACAATCCATCACAAAGCATGTTCACTTGCAAAGTCTCTTTTAGTGTCCAGAACTATTTTATTATTGCATCACAAGTGAGGAAACTGAGGCCCGGATGAGCTAATTTGCTAATTCCAGTTATTCCCACTTGGTTCTCATTTCAGTCCTTAGAAGTCCCCTTACTTAGCTCTCATCTCCTTCCCTCCCACTGTAGCCTCAGGTGTTTTCAGCTTTTTCCAATAATAGGCTTGGTGTCAGGAGTCAGCCCGGATCCTGTCCTTGCAATCTCTGACCCAGAACCACTTCCCACCTCCCTCTTCCTTTTAGTTCGTTCATCCGTCCACCCACCTACCCACCCACCATCCATCCATCACGTATTTATTTTCCTCTTACTGACTTTCCACTCCTTGAGTGAGACTCAGGGTGTCTGGGTGAGACTCACCTCTGACTCAGTTTCCCAGTGCAGCCAGCGGGCAATCCTCCGGAGAACACGGCTGCCTCCGGGTTTACCTTGACCCAGGACTCAAAGCGAAGGAAGGCTACAGAGGAGGTGCCTCAGCCTGTCTGTACCTCCTCCCTAGCCTCGTCGTCAGGGGTCCCCCGAGGGGAGGGCGGCGGCTGAGCTTGAGAACTGCTAATGAAGCCGCAGCCAATTAACGCCCGGGCCAGGGTTGGGGGCGGATAAAATTAGCAGCTGCGTCTGCAGGGGCGGGAGGGTGGACAGCTGGCTGGTGGGGCCCTTGTTTGCGTTTGCAGACGGCAAGCCGGAGCGGCCTTGCCCAGTTCTCCAAACTCGCAGTCGTCCCTTCCCCCACCCCCTCGTCTCAGGCCTCCCTCCCTCCCTCCCCCAACCGCCTGCAAACTCAGCGCCCACGAAATTAGGAAGGAAAAGGAAGATCGATGACTCCAGATGCCGCAAACTCTGTTTCCCCTCCCCCCCACCAACCTGCCGCCTCCCGCCAGCCCGCGGAGCTTAGCAGGTTGTCAGCGCTCCGCCTACGCGGTCCCTGCATCTCCACCCCATTCAGGACCTTATACCTCCTCCCCCAGAGGCCCGCCGGTGGTCGCCTCTCAGGTCTAATCCCCGTCCTAGTTTCGGCAGCTTCATCCCGCCCACCTCTGGGAGGAAAGTGTCCACCTCCCGCTGGGCTCAACCTCAAGGGTCGTCCTCCACGTCTGAATCTGACCTCGTCTTGGATGACCTCCAAGGTGCCAGTTCCGTCAATATGTGTCTCAGTTTCCCCATGAGCCGCCGAGGGAGGAGGCCCTGGCCAGGTCTCTGCCAGACAGAAACGCACGCCACCACCACCACCCCCTTGCCTAAAGGTCTCACACAGAGGCGTATTGGATTTCACTTTATTTTGTTCCCTTTCCCGTCTGTTTTGGCGTAGGGAAAAAAGAAAATCGCCGAGAGGCAGCAGCCGGAAGGTGGAGCAAGGCTGGCAGGGACTGGAGGGAGGCGGGCAGAGGGCAGGCGAGTGGATCGCCTATGCGCACGAGTTTTGCTTCCCCTACCCCAATTACTGGGGTTCGGGGGAAATGGGGACAGGCATACGACAGGCAGAGGGATTGGGAATGGGCCGCGGTGTATAGGCCTTTACGGTCTTTACGTGGGTATAGGGCTGGGAGTAAGAAAGGGGTGGGGTGAGGGTGCCAGGCAAGGCGTTATTAAAGCTGCGCGCAAAGGGCGTATCCAGCCCAGCGCCAGGGGCAGGCGTGAAGAGGACTCAGTGGGGACGCAGGGGACGCGGGGACCGCCTCCAAGCCCCGCCGATTCTGGGGCTGCCTTCTGGGCCCTCCACTTGAGGCTGTAGCCGGTGCGGGCTACCCCCAGCCTCGTGGGCACTCCCCATAAGGAAAAGGGGATCCAGGAAGGGCTGCTCCTCTCCACCCCCAGAGTGGAAGGGGTGGACGCGGCCTCAGGAGCTGCGGGGTAGGGGCAGGGGTTCCGCTTAAGGGAGTCCGGGGTTTCGCGGGAAGCTCAGGGCCCCGGGCGAGGGCGGGGCGGGCTACCCAAAGTAGGGGTGCTCGCTCTGGAAGTTATAGTCTGGGCACACCTTCTGCACCAGTTTGTAGTCAAAGCTGAGGAAGGAGACGAAGATGCAGATGACTTTGAAGGGCTTGGCGCACAGCCAGGCGGCCTGGCTCTGCGTGTGCTCGGTGAAACACGCCTGAGACGGGTCGTACAGGCACGGGCGGTGCTTGCGCGCGCGGTCCGTCTTCTCGTACTCCACGTGGCAGTTGAAAGCGCGCGACTCTTTGGCCCCAGGCACCCCCAGCGCGCCCCCGAGCGGACCCGCCAGCGCACCGCCGAGGGCGCCCCCGAGCCCCGGCCCCGCCGCCGCTATCCCCAGCGGGGGCCCCAGCCCGGGGAGCACCCCCTCCAGGGCCAGCGTAGACTGCAGCGGGTGGGCGGCGGGCCCCGGCAGCCAGACGCCCCCGAACTCCACACGCTTGGAGGGCGGCACGATGCTGACGCTGAGGTTGCCCAGGCTGGACGAGTTGTGGCGGAAGTAGACGCTGAAGGTGCCGTTCACATGGTCCACGATCTTCCCCGTCACCAGCAGCGAGAACTTGAGAGTGTGCACCCGGAAGTAAAAGTCCCCCCAGCCAAAGATCTTTTTGGCGCGGGCCGCTTTGATGGACGGCTTTCTCTTCGTGCGCTGCGCGGGCGCTCCCGCCGCCCCGGCCCGGGCCAGTGCCCCCGTGTGGTTAGCCGGCCAGGCCCAGCTCCAGGCGCGCGCGGTGCCCAGGCCGTCGGAGGACTTGGGCGCTGCCGGGAGCTGATGGCCTGGGGCGCCACCTCCGGCCGAGGCGGGGCGCAGCTCCGGGTACTGCGGCCTCCCGGAGTCCGGTATCTGCGCATTGACGGCCTGGGGACGAAGGAGGAGGGAAAGAGAGACGCTGGGGTGGTTTGGGGCCACGCCGGTCCCGTCCACAGCCGCTGGGAGGACGGATGGATGCGGGCTGCCACAGCAGTGGCTCGGGGAGTGCCCGCGCAAATGGGCTGCGGCTCTTTCAAGGTGTGTGGCCTCGGCCTCAGTTTCCGCATCTGTGAAATGACACTAGAAGCCTTGTCTTCTCACAGCACTCTGACGAGGGCTGAGAAAACCAAAAGAGCCAAAGCAGTGTGGGTTTGAAAGGGGCTGGAGCTATGAACTGTGGCTTGATTGGGAGTAACGGACCATGGAGAAGCTGGATCAGGCAAGGGAGGCCATGACCACTGTCAGTGCCCAGCGTCAGGAAGGAGTGAGACCTCCCAGCACACCTTCGCCAAGACTGGGCCCCACCCAGAGTGAGACCTCCCAGCACACCTTGGCCAAGACTGGGCCCCACCCAGAGTGAGACCTCCCAGCACACCTTGGCCAAGACTGGGCCCCACCCAGAGTCAGACCTCCCAGCACACCTTGGCCAAGACTGGGCCCCACCCAGAGTGAGACCTCCCAGCACACCTTGGCCAAGACTGAGGCCCCCACACAGGCCTCAGCCTTGCCTCCCTTGAGGGGTGGAGCGCGGGAGACCCATGGACCTGAGGAGAGCCTGCATGCTTGCTGTGGGCTGAGGCTTGGGGGCTCATAGTGGGCACCCGTCTCCACCTCCAGTGCTCCTGCTGTTGGAGAGGCCTCCTGGTGGGCCTCCCCTGGGCTAGGAGGGGCACGGAGGAGCACTGCCCGGCTTGCCCCCCACCAGCTCCATGTCTCAGGTGGCAGCCGATCTGGGAGACAGCGCGGGCGAGAACAAGATGGATCGAGAGGCGGGAGCGGCCGGGCCAGGCCCGGGCCATCAATTATCCGGGGCGGGGTTGGGGGGGTGGCCGCGAGTGAAGGAGAGGCGAGAGAGCGCAGAGGAAGAAATATGGAGATGCTGCTCCAGCGAGGGGAGCGGAAAGGAGAGGAGCTGTGCGTGTCAGGCTGTGTCAGTCAGACAGTGCTAGCTGTGGCCACTCGGTGTGGCCCTCATTCCGTGTGGGTTTGGATGTGGGGAGGGGGGAGTGCCGTGTGTGAGTCTGGGGTGATTGTATTTCTGTTATATTGTATGTATCTGTCTATCTGCCTGGAGTGATGACTGTGTGTGTGTGCTCGCGCGTGCATGCGCATGCTCAGGTCTCAACCTCTGGTGATGATGGGTGTGCATGTGTCTGCCTGGGGTGGTTGTGCATGGTGACTCTGTGTGTGTGTGTGCGTGCGTGTCTGCGTGCCCCGCGTGCAGTCTGAAGAGGCTGTGTTGTGTGTCTGCCTGCTCGTGGGGGCTGAGTTGTATCAGCCCACGGGGGGCTCTGTACAGGTGTCTGGGTTGTCTATGTGCCTGGGCTGGTTGTCTGTGGGTGTGGGTCTGAGTGAGGCTGTTTCGGGTGGTGGTAGCTGCCCCTCTGTGACTGGTGTAGTCTGTGCCTGGGTTGGCTGTGTATCTGAGGGTGGTTGTGTGTGATTCACTGAGGGTGTCACTTTCCCTCTGTGATCTCTCATCCTCCGTCCATGTGCCCATCTCTTTCTCAAGGCTCGGCCAGTGCATTCACAATGATATAACACGCGTGGTCTCATTGTGTTCTCCTGGGGGGGTGGTGCATACATGTCAGTGGTATATGAATGTTCCTGGGGGGTGGGGGGATCCCCACACTGGCCTACAGGGTGAGCTGTGAGTAGGGAAAGAGGCCGGGCAGCATGGGTGTCCCCCCCCGTTTGCATACACCATGTGTCCATTCCGTGTGTCCACAGGGGACAGGAAGAGCAGAGTCAAGCTGCTCGGCGAGAATCTCCACCGCCTGGTCCCATCCCCGCAGCTCCGCGATCCTGGGTTATTAATGCCGCCGCCACCCGCTCGTCATACATATTTATCGCCCCGCTCATTCCTCCTCCCGTCCATCTCTCCTCCCAGCTCAGGTGTGGGGGGCGGGGGCGGTGAGAGAGACTGACTCAGACTGACAAGCCTGAGCTGGCAGCTAACACCCAGAGGTGGGCCTGAGAGGGGATGGGGGGAAGGGGTCCTGGGCCGCAGAGGAGGGGACAAGGGCCTTCCAGCAGGACGGACCAAGGCTCCAGGAGGTGGGCTTAGAGAGGGCAGGGCCTGAGCCCTGGAGAGGGCATTGGAGGTGGGAGTGTACCGAAGCTTCCAGGGGAAGTCCAAGAATGGGTGGGAGGAGTCATTTGAACTCTGACACCTAAACTCCTCACCCCTCTGGGCCCAACCACTAGCTCTTTCCAGGGGCATCCATGAGCCCTACACCTGATGACATGACCCCAAATACCGCTGAGCCCGCCCCGCCCCCAGCACAGCCCAACAGCACTGGACATCCTGCACCCAGTCCGGGACCTGTCCACTGCTCCGGGGCAGCCGCTCTTCCCAGGCGGGGGCTGGGGAGGGAAGGAGGTTTGGCTGGGTGGTGAGGGGCGCCAGGTGTGCCCCCACCCTGATCCCAGACAAATTGCTGTCTACGCTTCTCTGATCCTGGCAAATCCCTGGGCTTTGGGTACCGGCACCCCCACCCGCCGCTGGAGACAGCCAAGATAAAAGGGAAGAGTCGGGGGGAGCGGCCGAAGCGACCTTGGGGGGAGAACTCAGTCAGGGAGGGGTGAGAGTCTGCGAGGAAACGAGCCGAGAAATGGGAACATGGAATAAAATCAAACCAAACCCTCCCTCTGGCTCCCCAGCCCTCACGCTCGCGCTCCCTCGCTCGCTCTCGCTGTTTTTCCCTCTCCCTCGCTCTGTCTCTTTTTGTCTCTGTCTCTAATTTTCTCCTGCGATTCTGCTTTTCTGTCTGTCTGTCTGTCTAACTGTGGTTCTCTCCCTCTACCCTCCAGGCGGCCTGTCTCCAGCTGCGGGTGGGGGTGGGAGGGAGGGGAAAGCAAGGTGACGGGGGGGGGGGGGGCCCTGTCTGCCTGGGGTCTGCGGGGCTGTCCCTCCCCCTCTACGACGGAGTGGGAGCAGGGTGTTGTCCGAGGAGGGGTCCCGGTCGCTCCGGAGCTGGTTTAATTAGGCTAATTGGGCGCAGTGACATTTGCGAAGGGGAGAGGCTATCCTGGCTGTCGGCCTGGGGGGCGGAGGTGTGATGGCAGGAGGGACTGGGGGGGAGGGTGGGGGTGCGCTTCACCAGGCGCCTCTGGGCCCTCGCCGGGTGGGAGCCGGGCCAGAAGCGCTTTGCCCCCCAGGCAGTGAGCCCACGCATTGGAGGGGAGTTGAGGATGCCTTTTTCTGCTGGACAAACTCCACTTGGTTGGGGGGTGCTCTTTGGGGATGGACTGCTGGGAATGGGGGGAGGATCAGGCTGTCGGCCCCCCATCTGCATTGCAGGGTGCGCCTTCCCCAGGCCGGTCGGTGGCTTTTCTCCCGCTGTGTGGGTCAGGCGGGGCCGCTCAGGACTCTGACTGGGGGAGGGGACATCACCCAGGAGCTGGGGCAGGAAGATGCTCCAGGCCTGGGTCGGGGAAGGAGAGGGAAGTGCGCACGGAGGCCCTGCACCTAGAAAGAGGTGGGGACAGCCCGCAGCCAGGGTGGGTGAAATAGGCAGCTTTAGGCTGGGAGCCAGAGACGGAGATGGGGGTGAGGGCAGAGGTGGGGTGAACAGGACAGGCTGTGATGAGGCCTGGGCCAGAGATTGAGGGCCACTGGGACTGAGGCCTGGGCAGGCACAGGTGCCTGGTGCAGAGACAAGGGTGGAACACGGGTAGGCATGGGAACAGCAATGAAGAGGTCAGCAATGGGAGACAGGCCCTGGGCAGAGACTGGGATGCAGATGGAACAGGGGCCAAGACAGTGAAGATGGGGGAACGGAACAAGGTGGGAACTAAAGTGGGAATGGGGGAGACAGGGACGGTGGATGAGGGATGGGCGCTGGGAGGAATGGGAGTGGGACGGGGATTGGGAGATGGGGATGGAACTAGAGGGGGTGGGAGTAGAAACGGGGGGGTGGGCAATGGTTACTGGGCAGAAACAAGGATGCTGAAGGAGGCAGAGACCCAGGAGGTGGGGATGGGGGCTGGAATGGGAAATGGGAGACAAGGAAGGCGATAAGAGACAGGGATGGGGAGACGGGCTGAGGACAGGTATGGGAGTCAAGCCAGAGAAAAAGGCAGAAGACCGGCAGGGTCAGGCCACAGAGGGGTCTCGGGCAGGTGGAGATACCTTCTTCCAGACCCTACTGTAGCTATAGTGTGAGGGGGCGGGGATGGCTGCTGGGGCGGGCTCTGTCCTTGGGCCGGGCGCCCCCTCCCCCTCAGCCCCGCCTGTCCGCCTGCTCCTGGCCTGCAGCGCAAGGCTCACCGTTATCTGAATTTTGATTTTATTTTATTTTATTTTATTTCCCTGCTTCCTAGAGCCGGCGCAGTCCCCCCGGGAACGACCGCCCCCCCGCCCCCCGCCCCGCGCCTCACTTTATTATTGCAATAAATGTGCCTATAAAGGCGCGGGCTCCGGGGCGCGGTGGGGGGGTGGGGTGGGTGGGAGCCGCGGAGCTGGGATGTAATTTCCCGAAGCCGGAGCCGGAGGGGGAGTGGGCGGGGTGGAGGTGGAGGAGGGGTAGGCTAGGGAGAGGGGGAGACTCGCCCATTTCCAGCGCTCAAGGCAAGCGCCCCCCACTCCCCATCCCTGGCCCGCAGCTCATCCCCACCCCAAGCCCTGGGACCCGCCACGGCGCCCAGCCAGCCGGGAGCCCTGGGACCCTTCCCCCACGACAGACCCTGCCCTTTCTCCGTGACCCTGTCCCCCGTCCCCGCCCACGTGGAGTTCTAGGGCTCGGTCCAAAGTTCCGCACCTCCTCCACGATGACTTCATCTCTGACCCCGATGATGCTCCCTCCGCTCACCCGGTCTCTCTCAACCTTTACCCCGCCCCCAAGGACACTGCCCCTGAGCCCAGTGACCCCTCTTTGCCTTGTTTCTGTCCCCAGATTACCTCCCCCCTTCCCCAGCCACCCCGTCCTGGACCCCCCAGCTCCTCCCTCACCCCAAACCTAAGACAGCCTACCTTCTTCTTTCCGTTGGGCGCCCCTCCCATACTCGGGGGCTCTGACCCAAGGGAGCTATCAACACCCCCCCTGGCCTATGCCTCTGGCTCAGCTGCGGCCCCTGATTACCCCCAAATCCCGCGACAGCTCTGGGCCCTGGCCCAGGCTGCACGTGCCTAAGTGGCCCAGCCAGAGATTAGCTGGGGGGTTAGAGGAGGATGTGGAGTCAGGAGGGGGTGGCTAGATGCAGGGCTGGGGCCAGCCGGTGCTGAGAGGCTCAATTCAGCCTAATCCTTTCCTGAGGCAGGCTGGAGCTGGAAGGTCCCACAGGGCCCCGCCCCTGCCCTCCCCCAGCTAATTAGTAATTAGTGATTAGTGATTAGTGACTATTGATCGCCTGCTGCTTCTCCCAGTAGGCGGCTGCTTTGGCACGGGGTGGGGAAGACTAGACAGAGAGGGCGAGAAGTCAGAGGCCGCGTGGGAAAGATCCTGTAGGAGGCCTGGGCCAGAGCCCCGGGGGCGGTGGAAGCCAGGAGTCGCAGGCCCCACAGGAGACCAGGAGCCTGAAGCAAGGAGGGAGGAGGCAGAGGGCGCCTGCAGGCGGGGCGGGTGAGCAGGGTGGGAGATGGCAGGGTGCTTAACGTGGGACAATTAGGGTTTCCCTGCAAACTGCCCCCCACCAGCCTCTTACTCAGTGTCAGCCCAGGGCCAGCCCTGGCACCGAGACAGCCCTGAGCGCACGCACACACACACGAGCCACATTCGGATACATGAACACATCTTGAGGCTCACAATCCCATTATTGTTGTTTTTGAACCTAAGTCGAGTCAGACTCTTTGTGACCCCAAGGACTATAGCCTGCCAGGCTCCTCTGTCCATGCGATTTCCCAGGCAAGAGTACTGGAGTGGGTTGCCATTTCCTTCTCATCCCCACACTCAAATGCACTCAAGATGACAAGAACGCAGACACACGCAAGCCTCGGAGACTCACATACAGACAACACAGGCGCCCCAACACACAGATATGCACCAGAGACACACCCCGATACTCCGAGGTGTGCATACACATGTGCACACATGGAGAGGGAGTCAGACACACACTGTCTTACACACAGCCCCCTTCACAGCTACGCACATGCACACACAGTCTGTATGTACATGCAAACACAGATTCTCACATGCATACAAGCCGCGCTAAATGGCAGACACCCTGTCCTCCGTGGACTCCAACACGCAGGCCCAGAGCAGCAGCTCTCACACACTCAGACCCCCACTGCTCACAGCCTCACGCTCGCTCTCCCTCAAGTCTTCACCAGATGTTTCATTCCCCTTCAGGGGGCAAAGGAAATTAAACCAGATCTGTCCGCAGGGGAGTTTCTTTGATGGGGAGATTGGAGAGGAGAGTGGGGAGGAACCAGGAGGAGGGGCCGGGGAGGACCACCCAGCCCCACTGCCTCTCCCCCGGGCCTTCACACCCCAGTGGGCTGTGGGGCAGAGACCCCCTCCCAGAGTTCTCTGCGAGGGCAGAGCTAGGCAGCAGGTCCCCAAGAAGCTCTTGTGGGTGGAAGCAGCGTTTGTGGAGGGGCGCCCCCGCCCACCTCCCAGCCCCCCAAGGTCGCCAGGCTGGTTTGAGAGAATCAGGGGGCCCCCGCCAGCCTCACTAAGGTTCCCCGCCCTGCTGGAGCTGCTGAAGGCTTCCGGACGAGGAGGTGGGAGGCCAAGTCGGGGGTCTACACCCCTTCCGGACTCTGGAGGGCCTGGGGGCTGGGACGCAGGGAGTCGGGCTTTGGGAAGCTACCTGCCTGCCCCGAGACTAGGTAGGTCACACTGAGGGTAGGAAACGGGAGAGTCAGGGGCAGGGGGCTGGTGTCAGAAGATAGGGGTCCAGGGTCTAGGCCCCCATTGTGGGATGCACAGCGGGGCACAGATGGCTGCCGTGTGAAGCAGGGACTCACGCTCGCCCCTTCAGAGCCAACACCACAGTCCACACCAGCACACACGCACCCTGGACGCCAGCACTAGACACGCCAGCCTGGCTGCCACGCAAGGCAGGCACACACACGGGTGCACACGCTGACCCGCACACTCCACACCAGCACACATGAACACCCGTGTATGCGAATTGAAGCCGCCAAGTCTGGAGGGACGCAGATGAAGTCTGGGCCCCTTTAGCCTGTCTTTGCCCTGGAGCTTCAGGGAGACAGGCCAGCCTCGGGGAGATGGAGCGAGGAGAGGACGGGAGGAGAGACTCTGTCCAGACAGCCCACACCCCCTACCCGCCGGGCGCGCGAGAGGGGTGTGTCTGTGAGGTTGTGCAGGGGAGACGGTGTCTCCGCGGGAAATGCGATGGGAGATGGTAGCCAAGTTCGGCGGTATCTGTGTGGGTCCGTGTGCGCGCGTGTGTTCGGGGAGTCTGCTCGGAGCACAGTGCCCGCCTGGCGTTGTGACAAGAACAGAGGAGAGAAATGAGAAGGCGGGGGTGGAGGGGTGGAAGGACAGACAGCGAGGAAGGCGAGTGAGGTTGGCGCGGAGAGACGGCAAGGCTGACACCCTGCTGGCTTGTCTGTCTGTCTCGCACTCCCGCTCCGTCTGGCACACTCGTGGGTCGGGCTTCGTCCCCTCCCCCGCCTCGCCTGGAGCGGGATCCGAGTCGGGCCTCCACCCTGGCACCCCCCAATCCCACCCCACCCCACCCGGGACCCTCAGCCAACTTGCGCTGGGAGAGCGCCTATCCTGCACCGGGAGTCTGTCTGTCCGCGTCCCCCCCTCCTCCCACCCCGAGCCGGGCAAAGTTGGGACGCTCTGCGCTGTAGCCGAGGCGGGCGCACGGAGCCCTGGCGCTCTGGGCCCTTGGCGTCCAGGACCCCCGCGGTCGCGCCACCTCCCGGCTCCCCTTACCTTCCTCAGGAGCCACGGGCCAAAGAGCAAGAGAAGCCATTCCGGGAGCAACCGCATCTTCCCGGGCGGCCGGGCGCGGCGGGCGCCGGGCCTGGGGACGAGGGGCCCCGGCGGGCGTGCCGCGGGGAGCTGCCGGAGCGGCGGGAGCGGGCGGCGCGGCCCGCGGACTGAGCGGCGAGAGGCGCGGAGCGCGGCGCCGGGGGCGGGGCGCGGGCGGGGGAGAAAGTTGGGTCGGACTCGGGCGGGCGGGCGGGGGGGCGGGGCTCCGCGGCGCGCCAATCCCGGCCGCGCCCCGCGCGCCCCCTCCCGCCCGGCCGGGGGCGCCGAAGGTGACTTTCACCCCGACACGCCCCAGACACGCCCCCGGCCCAGGTGCGGAGCGAAGCGGGCTGCGGGGCTCGGGGGCCGCGGACCCGAGAGGCGGGGTGGGTGCACCGCTGAGGAGCAGGGCCGGGGGTGGGGCTCCTCCTAGCTCCGGGACCTTGTTCCCCAAGCGGGGAACGGAGAGTGGGGGGCCTGGCGAGGCTCAACAGCCCAGCAAGACCGGGGTCCCTCGGAGCTCCCGGCCTCTTCGGTGCTCCGGGCCAGGGAGGGTCCCCGGGCAGGAGCAGGGCAGAGGCCGAGGTGAGGGCGGGCGGGGCCCCGGGCGACTGCCGCCGCGCGGCGCTGACGGGGATGGATGGGCGCCCCGCGGCTCATTCGGCCCGGAGATGAGTATCATTGATCACGGACGGAAACCCCATCACGTCTGTCAATAGGGCTGACAAACGGCGCCCGCCGCCCCCACCCCCGCCTTCAAGGCACCTCTGCGGTCTCAGGACCCCTCCGCTAGACGCGCCGTTCACCTTTGCCCCTCCGCCCCCTCTGCTGACCCCCCACGCCTCCCAGAGCGTCCCTGCGTGGGGGTTGGGCAGGAGCCGCACCAACGGCCCGGCTTCTTGGTGCGATCTCCATCCATCCCTTTCCGCCCAGGGTCCCATCTTTCACCATCAGTCACTCTAGATCCTTCTCCCCTTTCTCCTCTTGCCCTGTCCTTGTCTCTGTCCCGGTCTGGTCCTGTCTCTGTCCCAGTCCTCTTGGCTGTTTCTTCATCAGCTCCCTCCTCCCCCTAGTCTCTCTCTCCTGCCCAGGGAGCCTTCGGCTGTCCGCTGTTGCTATGCACTGAGGCTGTGGCTGAGGCTGTGGTATGACCGACACCTCGACAGCGAGAGAGGGACAAGCAAAGAGACAGAGAGACAGATGCACACCGGGAGACCCCAACGCATGTCCCCAGCACGCACGCAGGTGCCGCGCAGGGTCAGGCCACACAGTAGGGGCGGAGTGAGACATTCACACAGAGAACAGTGCACGCATGTAAGGTGCATGCCCAGGGGCTCTGATCCACCAGATGGACAGTCAGTTTACACAGGGTGCGCATACAGAGCCCGGAGAGATAAGTGCAACTTTCATCAAGAGACACGCATACCCAGCCAGGTACTCAGAGCCGACCCCACCTTCCTTGCCTTGGCAGAGAGGTGGGCATTCACAGACAGTGATGGGCACACACAGGTGTATGCTGGCACTGGCAGTCCAAAAGACAAGCCCGGGCACACATAGACAGACAGACAGACAGACACATGGATGTGACAAGACACAAAACAAGGATCAGGAATGCTGAGAAGATGAAGTGGACACAGCTACTCAGGGAGAGACAGACAGCACCCTGGACCAGGAGCCTGGGTGTAGGCGGGGCAGAGAGGGAGGCAGGGAGAGGCAGGATGAGCCAGGCCGCGGGCCACAAGGCTCCATCCAGAATCCTGAGCCCGAGTGCCAAACACAGGGGCTGCTGAGGTGGTAGTGGGTAGTGGGGGCAGTGGGCACACTCAGGCCCATGGTACCCAGGACAGAAGCCCACCTGTTTTTCTGGAGTCCTGACCCACCCCACCTCGACTCCTTTAGCTGGTCTCAGGTCACAGCTTCCTGTCCCCAGCTTACACACACACACACACACACACACACACACTCCCTGTCTCCATCTCGGTGTCTCTCTCATTCTGTCTGTATCAGCCTCTGGCTCTGCCCCGTCTCTTCTCCATCTCTGTCTTAGGTCTCTCTGCCATCCTTGCCAGGCGGGGAGTTTTTGAGCACTGCCTTCAGGCAGACCCTCTCCTGGCCGTCCTGGTGGGCAGAGGGAGGATGCTGACTGGAGGGGGTATGTGTTCCAAGCCGCAGCTGGGGGCCCCTCTCGCTCTGCCCAGGATCTTGAGGCGACAGGCAGAGAATCAGTGGCTCCCCGGGGGCGCCAGATGCACGCTGGCAGAGGGAGGCATGAGGGGGTGGGGCCGCTGGTGGGGAGCAGACAGGCGCTGGGGGAGGGGAGGAGCCGGCTGGAGGGGAGTAGAGGGGGTGTGGCAGAATAGCCCCAGGGAAGGAAGTGAGAGGCTGGACCTGGGTCCGAGGGCAGGTGCATAATTAGTGTGCTGGGGAGGGGGCTGTGCTGGGCTTCCGAATGAGCTGCGCTGCAGGAGTGTGTACGCCACCTGGTGGACAGACGATGACACAAGCCTCCCTCTAAGCAATCAACAAGGACGCCCCTTTTCCCCAGGAGGACGGCTCTTCTCGGGGGCCCTACGGTGCGGAGCCGGGGAGCTTGTGGAGGATGGCAGAACTGGCTTGGAAGCTGAGGCTGGAGCTGGGACCTCACGGCTTAGAGGGAAGGGGAGGGGTCTTCTTTCTGGACGTGGCTGGATCCATAGCTTCCTCAAGAAAGGAGGAATAGACTGAGAAAGTTGAACCAGGGAGGGAGGGGGAATGAAAAGCAGTGCTCCTCTTTTGGGAGCTGGGCTTCCCTGGTGGCTCAGAGGGTGAAGACTGCCTGCAGTGAGGAAGACCCAGGTTCGATCTCTCTGTTGGGAAGATCCCCAGGAGAAAGGAATGGCCTCCCGCTCCAGTATTCTTGCCTGGAGAATTCCATGGACAGAGGAGTCTGGCCAGCTACAGTCCATGGGGTTGCAGAGTTGGACACGACTGAGCGACTCACACACACACACTAGGTTTCTTTAGATGTTTAAAGCTGCCTTCTTTGAGCATATTTGCTATGGCAGGAAAAGGGGGACTGTAACCCTCTCTCAGTCTAGGACCGTGTAAAGCAGTGTGGCCTTCTGCACGGGAATTGTAGACCTGGGTTTCCCAGGTGGCGCTAGTGGTAAAGAACCTGCCTGCCAATGCAGGAGACGTGAGATGACGGTTTGATCCCTGGGTCAGAAAGATCCCCTGGAGGACGGCATGGCAAACCACTCCAGTATTCTTGTCTGGAGAATCCCATGGACAGAGGAACCAGTCCATAGCGTTGCAAAGAGTTGGACACGACTGAAACAGCTTAGCACACGTGGGACCCCCCTTTGACTGTAGCGGTCATCAGCACCTGGGGTGGGAACTGGGTTTGTTGGTGGCCCGTGAGGCCTGGAAAACTGACCTTCCCAGCTGTAACCACAAATGCTTTCCTTTTCCTGAACCCAGGGTTCTTACTCTTGACATCTGATTAATCAGTCTCTGTGAGGATGTTAATGCTTCAAGAGCAAACTTAGCCGACTGGGAATGGGACCATCCTGAAGGACTAGAAAGTCGTTCACAATCCCAGTGTGTTCATCTCTTCCTGTAGGATTTCTCGCTGTGGAAGAGCAGTTTAAGGATGGGTGGCAGTGACAGTGCAGAGAAAATGCAGATCCTGGAGGTAAGGGTCCATTGGCCAGAGAGATCACATGTTTCCGAAAGGTGAAGTCACTGGCTCAAAAGTTGACACAGCCAGGAGAAGCAGGTCTTTCTGGTCAAGCTCCGTGCCACCCTCAATCCTTGCCGCAGCCCAGCCAACGGGGATGGAGGCCAGAAGGGCCCTGAAGACCAGATGCTCCAGCCTTCCTGCAGCACAGAGCATGGCTCCCTCCGGTGGCCGGAGCATGCAAGCACAGGCCAGCTCTCAGAGCCTCACATTCAGGTAGACAGACACAAACGCTTTTTTTTTTTTTTACAATTTTATTTATAACAATATCTGTGTTATTTAGTTGTAAAGGAATTCAGCAAAAATTATTAAAACGTTCGTGTCCCCAAAAGGGGGCTGCCCGCTTGCCCTTCCTCGGTGCGCCCCACTTTCTCCTCGTCCCCAGGGGAGGGGAGCCTGGGGGGACTGTTTACCAAAGAAGTCTCCAGCCCTGGGAGCCACCGCGGGGGCACGGGAGAAGGGGAGGGCCTGTCTGGGAGGGATGCTGAGCGCGGCCATCTCAGAGGTGCCCCTGGAGTGGGGGCTGGGGCTTGGGATGGCCTCCCCCAAGAAGAACTAAAAAACTCCATCCTTCCCTTCCTACCTCAGCCAGGGCCAAATCTTCCAAGACAAGGGCAGCAAAGGACTCACCCTCCTCAGGATCCCAGAATCAGCCCTCAGGGGACCGGCGGGGTTGGGGGCGGGGGCGAGAGGGGAGAGCCTAGACAAAGTGTCTTGTACGGGGAGGGGGACGCAGCACCACCAGCTCTCCCAGTGGGGGTGCGTTTTTGGTGGGAAGGTGGGAGGCAGGGCTCCCTTATACCTGTAATTTGCAGGAGCCCCCCTCCTGTTCCCCCCCTCCCGGAAGGCAGCATGGGGGGGGGGCGTTGCTGAGGAGCAGGCAGGAAGGAGAACGGAAAGAGATAATACTGTGCTCGCTTGCTCGCTTGCTCACTCACATATAAAAAGTAATTCCTTCATTTTTTTACATTTATACATCCCAGCAGGGCTGGGCAAGAGGGGGGCTCCTCGAAGGACTTTTCTGGCCGGGGGCAGGAGGCTCTCTGGGGAGGTCCGATGGTGGAGGACCCTATGCCAAGGGGTCCCCTATCTCGTCCTCGGGGCCCCGGCCCAGGAGTTCTCGCTTCTCGTCCGTGCTGGCCAGAGAGTGGCGGCTGCCATGGCCTCCCATGTACAGTGTGGCATACACGGGGTTCGTGAAGTTGGTGGGCTGCAAGCAAGAGGGTGCAGCTGGGGCTCAGACACAGGGCTCTGTGGCTTAGGTACCTTCCGCCCACCTCCATTCCATCATCCAGCCCAA